CACGTAGCCGCTCAGCGTGACTACGAGCTTCACTCCCTTGACTTCAGCACCGCTTTCGTGCAGGGTAGCCTGCACGAGGAGATCTGGCTGCGCCGTCCACCTGGCTTCACTGGGACTTTCCCTCCTGGCACCTAGTGGAGCCTCCGACGGCCAGTCTACGGTCTCCGCCAGGCACCGCGCGAGTGGCACGACACACTGAGGACTACACTTGCGGCTCTTGGGTTTGCTCCCTCTACTGCTGACCCGTCGCTGTTTCTACGCACCGACACCTCTCTGCCGCCGTTCTACATCCTCGTGTACGTCGACGACTTGGTCTTTGCCACAGCTGACACTGCTGGACTCGCCCACGTGAAGTCCGAGCTGCAGAAGAGACACACGTGCACAGACCTGGGTGAACTGCGCAGCTACCTTGGCTTGCAGATCACCCGGGACAAAGCACGCCGCACCATTACCCTGACTCAGTCACACATGGTGCAGCAGGTCCTTCACCGCTTCGGCTTCACGTACTCCTCGCCTCAGGCCACTCCTCTGCCTACTCGCCACTCGCTCTCAGCTCTGCCTTCGGATGAGTCCGTAGAGTCGAGTGGCCCGTACCCAGAGCTTGTTGGCTGCCTCATGTACCTGATGACCTGCACACGACCTGACCTTACATACCCTCTTAGCATTCTTGCACGCCATGTTGCTCCTGGGAGCCACAGACCAGAGCACATGGCTGCAGCGAAGAGGGTGTTGCGCTACTTGTGCAGTACGTCGGGCATGGGGCTAGTGCTTGGAGGGCGGAGTCCAGTGGTCCTCACTGGGCACGCGGACGCTTCTTGGGCAGACGACCAGGCTACGCAGCGGTCGTCACAGGGTTACACCTTCAGCCTTGGTTCTGGCTCTGTTTCGTGGCGGGCTACTCGCTCGTCTTCTGTTCTCGGCTCCAGTTGTGAGGCTGAGATCTACGCCGGGGCCATGGCTGCACAGGAGCTTCGCTGGCTTACCTACCTGCTGACTGACTTCGGAGACCCGCCTCGTTCTCCTCCGGTGCTGTATGTAGACAACAAGGCCATGCTAGCCTTGTGTCGGGAGCAGCGCCTGGAGCACAGAACGAAGCACATTGCTCTCTGCTACTTTCTTGCTCGTGAGCTGCAGCAGCGTGGTCAGTTGCGACTTGCGTACGTGGCCTCTGAGGCCAACACTGCTGATGTTTTCACCAAGGCACTTCCGCCTTGTGATCATCAGCGCTTCTGCACTCAACTGGGTCTTGTGCCTGGCTTGTGCCTGTCTTGCCTCACTTGGTCACCCCTTGACCTTGCTTGTACTCTTACATATATATATATACCTGCTCTTGCTGGTTTAGCCTTATATATATGTGTACTCGTGCATGTGAACTGGCCTTGTGGCCTTAACCTTGTGCTCGGACTGTGTGGTGACGTTGTGATCCACCCTGAGCTTTGTCTGCTTTGCTTGACTGGTCTTGTGACCCTTTGTTCTCCCCCACTTTGCCTATGGGGGTGTGTCAAATTATAATATTGTGTAGGCTATAGTGCGGTAGCCCATATGGGGTACACATTTCTAGGGTTGCATATTTGTATCACTTCCATTCCTTAGTCATTCATTTTCTCGTTCTACTTTCCTCATGTACCTCACAGGCGGCAGTATCTTAACATGTTCTCCTCTGTGGATCTAAGAAAGAGCAAGGTGTACCACGCCTTGAACTGTAATGGCATTAAAGAAAGATCTTGCAAGGATTTCGGGTTTGGTTGGCACATGTGAAATGCGGCTCTGCAACGAACAACCCTGCGAATTGGAACTGAAAGGGGAAATTGGATGAATAAAGTGCAGTACGTTAGTAGAGTCGTACAGATTATGGTGTTTGGGAGGGACCGAGAGTGGTAGAGCTGAGGGAAAGAACGTCTCTCATAAGTTCAGGGATAAGTGACGGGATCAATTATTCGGAATCCGAGCTGTGGGGCGGTGATAGGTGACAGAAATTGGTTGTGAAACAAAACAACCCTTGAAAGCTGTCAGACATTTTTAACTTGTGCTGCAAGTCATGTACGGTTTTGTGCTTCTATTCATGAACGGTAATGTACACCTAGTCCGCGCCAATTTCACACCCCGTCAGTTTTGGGTAAAAGCCTATTTGGGCCTTTTTTGGCTTTGGGGATCAGACACCCAAGGAACTAGAGCCTATCCATGGCATCGTGAGGTGTCGATGTTGTGAAAGTGTTACTTTGAGACCGCAACGTAAAGACTGGATCTTCCGCTGCAACCATGATTTTATTTTCCCCGCTGACTCTTAGTCGGAGTCTGAACCGTGAATTCCTTAAAACCAGACTGTTTGAAACATTCCTCAATTTCCTTGTAAATCAGGAACGAATACACAGGGTAGGGAATTGGAGGGTGTAAAAATAACGCTGACCATGTGTATTGCCGTTTTTTGCTGCCTCTTCACGATCTCGCAGATTTCGCATCGCAACCCACCACGACGAATGAATTGTCCAAAATTCTGCTCACGAATTATTTGCTGAAGATTCTTCCGCGTTTACTGTACACCTTCTTTCGCGCTAGTAGATCATCTGGTTGCAGAACATACACGGGTGGAAGAACGTCACCACGTTCAGAACATACACGGGTGTACAAGCACATTGCGATGAGTGCGGTTCGGTGAGGTGATGCACTTTCAAAACAGCTCTGTCAACGTTTCTATTCGGTTAAGAGGGTTATACAGCGATAACGAAAATTTTACGCCCATGAGCCAGTTCAGCGTGGTTCGGCTTTTCCCCCCAGGTTACTAGGAACATTTAATGACATCAGATCGCATGAGACAAGGACTGTAGTGCCGAGTCGCGCAAGGTGAGAAGGTTGAGATATATGGTGTACCCAGCAGCGAAAATTCACCGTGTCATTTCATGAGCCGCATTCACGAACTTCTGCGACCAGCCGTAACGTCCTTGTTTCCATCCAGCACAGTTCTTCGAGGGGAAACCTCCGAACCGACCCAACGAACCTCCCAAAGTGCGCTCCACCCCGCGCCTCAAATTTTAGAGGGTTGTTATACAGATAGTCACTGTTAAGGGCGTCATAACACAAATGCTCAAGAGGTAGTCACAAACGGTCATTGAAACGGGAAAACCTATCACGGATGATCAACGTACTATCATGGATAGTCACTCGCTGCCCCGCATTTCTATCACGAATGGTCACTGGAGGAAACCCTCAAGGAAAGTTGAAACTCCCTGAGGAAAAATCTGTGGATATTTTGAGGAATCATAATTTCAATTGCTTGTTACCTCTCGCAGGATTCTCGCCTGACATCTAGGACTGAAGAAAAAAACACCTTTATAGGATGGCACACCCTTTAGTAAGCATCAACCCAAAACACCATACGAAATGTGTTTAGGGTTGATTCCTCCCGATGGAAATCCTATCCGAACGGGTTTTTGTTTTTTTTGGAGGAAAAATAAACTTCGAGTTTCACCCGTCTAAAAGTGATATTCTCAGGAACATTATGCATAAATCATACAGTGGACAATCGATCTAACTTTCCAATGTTGCCAAGATATTTCGCGAGATTTTTAAACGCTTTCGCGAGTGTGGTCACGAAACAAATTTCGTAAGTAACAACGTCTCGCAACACTACAGACAAAACGGCGCCACGAGACAGAAACAGTCCCGCGACGAAAACGACAAACACATTTAACGCGCTAATAGTCCCTAAATCGCAACAGTGTGATAACGCATGGGGAAGCATTTCAGCATTCGGGTGGGCGTTTCTTTCAGTGACTAATCGTGATAGCATCGTGTGGCATCGAGTGACTATATGTGACAAATTACTGACCATCCGTGATAGATTTTCCTGTTTCAATGACCATTCGTGATAACCCCAAGACCATTTGTGTTAGCGCTCCCCGTTCAGGTACCATGTGTTTGATAACCCAATTCCGAATGCTTTACCGTTCCGAGCCGAAAGGTTTTTCCAGCGAGGTCCTCCCAACCAGGTCGCAGAAGGGGACCAACGAAACAATTGCCACCCGACCCAAAAGTACTGTACAGCACAGCAGCTGGTTGCTGCCAAGAACGTACGCACCGACAGAAATTGACCTGTCCTTGTCTCACGGGGCAAGTCCGCTGCCGCCAGCGCACGCATTGCTCCACAGGCATCTGCTCCACCATTGCAAAAGCTGCAACACTCCTCCTGCCTCGCTGTATTACTAACTCCCATCTTATTTGTCCATCCTTGCCACCTCCGTCTCAGCGCCAGGAGCAGCAATCAGCACAGCTCTTCACATCACACTCCAGCACCCCGTCCACGCCTCAGCCGCCATAGGTCCTCGCGTCCATTGCACGAATCTCTCGCTCCGCGAAGACCGAGCAGCATTCGTCCGCGTAACCTCTTTCGTATCCACCCACACGCGATCGGCCACTAGGGTCACTACACGCGTGTACATTCTGTAGTCCAGTCCAGTCAGTGGCGTGCGAGCATGGCACGTCACCTCCACAAAGTGCGCTCCGTGCCCGATGTCCATAGCCTGTTCCTGTCCGCTGGTCTAGACACAACTGACGATACGCAACGTCCAGACGAGCAGTTTCGAAGCCGAAAAGGATCTCGCCATCGCCATCAGAACTCGGACGGGTTCATATTACTAGACTCGCAGCGCGCGTCAATCCACCATTCGCCTTCTAACAATCGCGAGAGCCCCGCTCCTCTCTCTGCTGCTGACGAGCACGTAGGCAGTAGGCGCTCCGCAGGCGACATTAACCATTCGCAGTTATCGCAATTGACGCTCTTCGTTCACGGCAAACCTACGGGGATTCCGCCACGACGGCGGAACAGCTTCCTCACGCTCGCCGCAGCAGATCAGCGGAACCCCGCCGTCGCTCGCGCATCAGCAGCAGCTGTATCCGCGGCGCCCGGGGGTTCTAGTAACAGCAGCTCCCAGCACCGCGTGTTCTCATCGATTACTGATTCCTCCTCTTCCGACAACGACGACGAAGACGCCGCGCCGCAGGTCATGCACGACGCCGCAAGGGCTTCGCTAACAGCGGGTTACCCGCCGAGACAGTGCTACCAACCACCCGGGACGCGCGTTGAATCCACGAACTACTACTACAAGCAGCAGAGCGGCAATGCAAACGCGGCAGGAGAGCCGTTGAAAGCAACCACGGAGGCCGTGTTACGGTCCCACGTGCAAGAGGTTCTGTCGGAGCGGCACGAGCTGGTGCAGCAGCTGTCGTCGTTTCGCGTGACGGCCGCGTATCGGCAGAAGCGGGTGGAGGCGACCGTGAAAGAGGCGGAGGTGCTTAAAACGAAATTGGCGGGAGGGGAGAAGCGGCTGGAGAGGGTTCGCGCGCAGCTTGACGCCACGCGCATCGCGCGAGACGCGGCGGCGCGGGAGCTCGCGGTCCTTCGGCGGATCGCGCCCGCAACGTTGGATGCTGGTACTAGTGACGAGGAGGACAGCGAGGAGAGCGATTCGGCGTCGGATTCGGAGAGTGACGCCACGTCGGATAGGGGAGGCGGGGGAGCGAGGTCGCGCGGAAGAGGCGGAATGCGCCGGGGGGCGGCGAAGACGGCAGGGGATGCGGCGTGGCAGAGGGCTGAGCTGCGGAGCGTGCTTCAGGAAATGGCGCAAGCGTTGGAGAAGACCGAAAAACGGGCGAGGAGCGCTTTGGCTCGAACGATGCAATTAGAAGGTGCGTAGCGATGGGTGGGATGCGAACGCCGAAAGCGATCACTGATTGTCAGGGTCCCGTCCTTTTGCCATCATTCCTGTGGAGCGATCACTGATTGTCAGGGTCTCTCTCGCCTCCCGCATCGCTCCCCTCAGCTCCTGTCTCTCGCTTCCGCGCAGCCTTTCCCCAAATCAGGCTATGCGCCCAGCGTCTCGTCTTTCCGCTTCCCCTCGTATCGCACAACGTGTCCCTAAAGTTTCCCCTTCGGGCTCCCCTCCCCCCTCCAATTTTCCCCCTTTCCCTGGCCAGGCTTGCTGGAGGACAAAAAGGAGGAGCTGGCGGAGGTGCGGAGCGAGCTGCGCACGGCGGAGGGGGAGCGGAACATGCTGGCGGACGAGCTGCAGGAAGCCTTCAACTCATGGGCGCAGCCGCGCGCGCCCGCAGCCAACGTGATGAGGAAGTCAGGGGTGGCGTCAGCGCCTCTGCCGCTACAGCCACTGAAGGCGCTACACGCGCTACAGGCAAAACAGGCGCAGCGCGCTATAGACAGACATGGGCCGGGAACGTGGATCGATGAGGGTAGGGATGCTGGGGATTACATCAGCCGAAGGGCGAAAGAGGGGAGCAGAGAAACAGGTCGCATCAGCAGAAGCATGAGCAAGGAGGAGCTTGGGGCGCAGACTCTCGCTCGGGGGATGAGCGGGGAGGGGAAAAGCGCAAGGGGGATGATGAGCGGGAGGGGGAGCGCGGAGGAGCTGGGTGGATGGGCCCGTGCGTCGGCACTGTTGCTGGCGGGTCAATTGGAGCCGCGAGTGCCTGAGTACCTGCGCGCGTCGCTAGAGGTCCCCTGAATGAAGCCCCATGAGAGGTCTCGTCTCGAGTGTGGTCCTCCCCTCCTGGCTTCTGGACCGGAGCCAAGTGGTCATCCCTGCATTGAGCCTATTCAACATGGATTTTGACTTGGTGCACTTCTGTTGGCACCAGCCATGGCATGTGCTCTCCGAATCACCATTGTTCCTGCATACCCTTGTCAGAATTTGTACAAATGGACTGCGGGATAAAAATCCAGAGTCCTGCGTGAATAAAATCTTTATATTGGTCTCATGCTGGCAATACAAAGCAGGTAGATGGTGGAATTTAAAAGTCAGTTGCTTCAGTGAGTACTTGTAAGGGAATTTCTCGGCATTCCTTACGGAACCCGACTACATCGCGTACAGCAACAGCCGTTGTTCGCCCGTTACTGCTAACGGGACTTCGCCAACTTCGCGCGCACTGTTTTGCCAAACCTCGCACTGCTGGCCCGGCTGTGTCGGCCTACGCTTCGGGACTAGCCCGAGCCTCGCTGCCAGCATAACACTAGCTAGCCCGCACGCACCACGTTACCGTTTGCATGTTTCGTGTATAAATGTTCGAGCGCCAGCCCTGCTCGCCCGGCGAGCGCCTGCCCTTCCCGCCTGGTGAGCACCTGCCTTGTTAGCGCGCTGCCGCGCCATCTGCCTGCCTGCCAGCCTGCTTGCCTGCCTGTCTGCCTGCCTGCCTGCCTGCCTTGCCCGCGCTACTACTGCTGCTCCTTCTGTTACTACTGCTAGGCTACTGCTACTACTGCTGCTGCTACTGGCGGTGGCCAGATGCAGCTCCAGCGACATCCACACGAGTCTCTCCCGCCCCAGCAGCTTCGTGAGTGGTATGCTAATTGGGGTTGTGGCGGTAGCCGTCGTAGCTGTCGCCATGGAGCTGGTCAGTTGGGAGCGTCTGGCAGTGGCCAGCTGCAGCTGCAGCGGCGTCCACGCGAGACACTTACTTCCCAGCAGCTTCACGAGTGGTACGCTTAGACTAGAGGGTCTTTGAGTCCCGTTCGCTGCCCGTACGTCATTCGCACAGGTGATCGGGCTGGTCAGCCTTGCGGGACACCTGGTCACACACAGTCCCACTGCTTCGCCCGTCTGAGCGACGCCTGGCGTACCGAGTTTGGCGACGAGGCTGAGCTCCCCACATGGCTGGAGCTGCTTGGGCAGAGGGTAGATGTATTTGCTCTTGACTATGATGTTATTCTCACTGCCATGTATGCATTGCCTACTTGTGCTGACGATGCCTATTACCTGTGCGTACCGCCTCACCCAGGTATAGAGCCTGCTGCTCTAGGTGCTGGTGACTCTGCTCTCTCTGGTACTGCGCCTGCTGAGGCCTTTTACACCTTCACACTTGACTCCGGTGCTTCTCCCTCCTTCTTTCGCGACAGCACCACCCTCACGCCGCTCAGTCAGCCGATTGCAGTCTCTCTGGCACACCCCTCTAGGGGTCCACTCCGTGCGACCTCCACCACTGTCCTCCCCTGTCCTGCTGTCCCGTCCGGCACACGGTCGGGTCTTTACCTCCCCTCGTTCTCTACGAACTTGGTGGCGGGTTCTGCGCTCCAAGACGCGGGTGTTCACCAGTTCACCCCTGCCTACGAGCGTGTGACACACTGCACGTGTGCTCAGACGGGTCGTCACCTGGCTACCTTCACTCGGCAGCCGGGGTCGGGCCTGTACACACTGACCACTGAGTCCCCTCAGGTAGCTGCGTCTGCGTCTGCGTCAGATCATTTGTCGGCCCCCTGCTCGTGTCGCGCCTTGTTGCACCAGACCCTCCTTTGGCACCACCGCCTTGGTCACCCCTCGGTGCAGCGCCTTCGCAGCATGCACCGCCGTGTCCTTGTCTCTGGTCTTCCCAGGGTTCTCCCTCCCCTCCCACCCTCGCCTGCTCCTCCCTGTCCTCCCTGTGTCAAGGGGCGGCAGCGCGCCGCTCCTCACTCCTCCTCGTTCCCTCCCACAGAGGCTCCCCTGCAGACTCTCCACCTAGACGTGTGGGGCCCAGCCCGCGTCTGTGGACAGGGCCACGAACGGTACTTCCTGCTGGTCGTCGACGACTACACGCGTTACACCACGGTCTTCCCCTTGTGCACCAAGGGTGAGGTCCCTGATGTTTTGATCCCTTGGATCCGCGCTACTCGTCTCTAGCTCCGCGAGTGGTTCTAGTCGGACTTTCCTATCCTGCGTCTGCACTCTGACAGAGGCGGTGAGTTCTCCTCTGACCTCTTAGCAGTCTTCTGTGCGGAGCACGGCATCCGCCAGACGTTCACGCTTCCGGCCTCTCCGCAGCAGAATGGGGTTGCTGAGCGCCGCATTGGCTTAGTTGTGGAGGTCGCTCGTACCTCCATGATCCATGCGGCTGCCCCCCATTTTCTGTGGCCGTTTGCGGTCCGGTACGCCGCGCATCAGCTCAACATCTGGCCCCGTGTCTCCTTGCCGGAGACCTCGCCCACACTGCTGTGGACGGGGAAGGTTGGCGATGCGTCGCGTTTACGGGTCTTGGGTGCTCGTGCCTTTCACCGCGATACCACCGCGGACAAGCTCTCCGCCCGCGCTGTTCCCTGTGTCTTCCTTGGCTTTGTCCCTGACGCGCCCGGTTGGCAGTTTTACCAGCCCACCTCGCGCCGTGTCTTCCCCTCTCAGGACGTCACGCTCGACGAGTCGGTTCCCTTTTACCGTCTCTTCCCCTACCGCACTGCCCCTCTTCCCCCCCCGCCGCTCTTCCTCGCTCCAGGTGCTCCCCAGGTAGAACCCCTCCCCGCTCCCGGTCCTGCTCCTTCAGGTGTGTCTCACGTAGACCCTCCTCCCTTGCCTGCGCCGGTTGAGGTGACTGGTGACTCAGGTACTGCTCGGGGTGCTGAGCCTAAGGGTGCTGAGCCTGGGGGTGCGGAGCCCGAGGGTGCTGAGCCTGGGGGTGCGGAGCCTGGGGGTGCGGAGACTAGAGGTGCAGAGCCTGGGCGTGAGGAGTCTGGGGGTGCTGAGCTTGGGGGTACTGCGTCTGGGGGTGCTGCATCTGGGGGCGCTGAGGCGTCTGGTTAGTAATCTCCCTGGGGCGGGCGTCTCCGTAGTCGCTCCGCTGGTACCTCGCCGCTGCACTCTCGTCGTCGACTCCCTCTCTCCCCACAGCAGATGCGTGAGTGGTACGCTGACCGTCAGGGTCGCACTGCTGGAGCTAGGGGCCCTGCTGCGGGAGGCGCTGGAGCTGGTGACTCTGCTACTGGAGTTGTTTCTGCTGGAGGTTCTGGAGCTGCTGCGGGTGCTGGAGATGGAGGTTCTGGAGTTGCTAAGGGTGCTGGAGCTGGAGGCTCTGGGGCTGCTGAGGGTGCTGGCACTGGAGGTTCTGGAGCTGCTGCGGGTGCTGGCGCTAGAGGTTCTGGAGCTGGTGCGGGTGCTGGTGCTGATGGTTCTGAATTAAATGTTGTGCGGTCTCCTTGGAGTAGCCGCCTTCGTCCGCGTGTGCCTCTCACCTCACAGCAGCTGCACGACTGGTACGGTCGCCGTCAGGGTCGCGCTTCTGAAGCTCGGGGCTCTGCCGCTAGAGGTACTTCTGCTGGCGTCACTGGAGCTGGGAGTGGTGCTGGTCTCGGAGGTGCTCGTACTGGAGGTACTGGAGCTGCTGGGGCTGGAGGTGCTAAGCCTGAGGGTGCTGCTGCTGGAGGTACTGGGTCTGGAGGTGCTGTTGTTGGAGACACTGAGGCTAGAGTCCCAGGGAATGGAGGTGCCGGTGCTGAGGGTGCTACTGCTGGTGGAGCTGGTCCTGGAAGAGCTGGCACTGAGGGTGCTGGAGCTGCTGGTGCTGGTGGCACTGCACAGCCGCGCCTGTTCTTTGCTCCTTCGTCTCCGTCGTCTCAGCCACCGCCTGACTCTGTGCTTCGCCAGGTTCTTAGTCTCCCTTCCTCTACTGATCTTCCGTTACAGCTTGGCTCACCACTGCCTGCTCCTTCTCCTTACACTTAGCGGACAGGGGGTCTTACTGAGCGTCGTGAGCCAGCGTGGCGTCCTGTCTCGCCTGTCCGTTCTGGTCGCGGTCGTCGTGTTCCTCGTTCGCGTCTGCCAGCTGTCTCCGGCACCCACCTCGTCGTCCGTCGTCCTTCCTCTCCTCCGCAGCGTGTTCCCCTGCCGTCCCTTCGTGCGTCTTCTCTGCCTACCGTTCCTGAGCCTGAGTCCGACCGCACTCGTGCTGCTCACTCTACTGTCACGCGTCTGCTAGCCAGAGTTGTCACTGACCTGTCGTTTGAGTCTGCTGCTGCGTCTGCCTTTATCGCTGAGCTTGTTGACTTTGCTGCTGCCTGTCGTCTAGACTACGCCGCTAGTCTTGTTGCTGAGTCTGAGTCTGTCTGTCCTCCGTCCGTCGGGGGTGAGTGTGCTCTTGGCACGGACATCCTGGAAGACAGGCAGGAGGACCTCGAGTGTCTTGCAGCCGCTGCGCCTCATCTCGTGTCCATGCTGCTTGCCCCTGAGGGAGACCCGGATGCTCCAGACATCCCGACCCCGCGCTCTTACGCTGAGGCGATCGCGGGTGAGTACTCCTCTCAGTGGCATACAGCCATGGACGCAGAGATGGCATCGTGGAAGTCCACAGGCACTTACGTTGACGAGGTTTCCCCTCCCGGGGCGAACATCGTCAGTGGCATGTGGATTTTCAGGATGAAGCGGCCGCCAGGTTCTCCACCTGTCTTCAAGGCTCGTTACGTTGCACGAGGTTTCAGTCAGCGAGAGGGAGTAGACTTCTTTCAGACCTTCTCTCCCACCCCAAAGATGACCACTCTTCGGGTACTGCTGCACGTTGCCGCTCAGCGTGACTACGAGCTTCACTCTCTTGACTTCAGCACAACTTTCTTGCAGGGCAATCTGCACGAGGAGATTTGGCTGCGCCGCCCTCCTGGCTTCACTGGGTCGTTCCCTCCTGGTACCCAGTGGAGCCTCCGGCGGCCGGTCTACGATCTCCGCCAGGCGCTACGTGAGTGGCAGGACACACTGAGGACTACACTTTCTGCTCTTGGGTTTGCTCCGTCGACTGCTGACCCGTCGCTGTTTCTGCGCAACGACACTTCGCTGCCGCCGTTCTACATCCTCGTGTACGTCGACGATTTGGTCTTTGTCACTGCGGACACTGATGTTCTCGCTCTGGTGAAGTCGGAGTTGCAGAAGAGACACACGTGCACAGACCTGTGTGAGCTGCGCAGTTACCTTGGCTTGCAGATCACCCAGGACAGAGCACGCCGCACCATCTCTCTGACTCAGTCACACATGGTGCAGCAGGCCCTTTAGTGCTTCGGCTTCACCTGGTCCTCGGCATAGGCCACTCCTCTGGCTACAGGTCACTCGCTCTCAGCTCCATCTTCGGACGAGTCCGTAGAGTCGAGTGGTCGTTACCCAAAGCTAGTGGGCTGCCTCATGTACCTGATGACCTGCAGTCGTCCTGACCTTGCGTACCCTCTTGGCCTTCTGGTTCGTTATGTGGCTCCTAGTCAGCACCGAAAGGTGCACATGGATGCTGCTAAGAGGGTACTACGCTACTTGTGCAGTACATCGAGCATGGGGCTCGTGCTTGGAGGGCGGAGCGCAGTTGTCCTCACTGGGCACTCATACGCTTCTTGGGTTGACGACCAGGCTACGCAGCGATCGTCACAGGGTTACACCTTCAGCCTTGACTCTGGCTCTGTTTCTTGGCGTTCTACACGCTCGTCTTCAGTTCTCAGCTCCAGTTGTGAGGCTGAGATCTACGCCACTGCGATGGCTGCACAGGAGCTACGCTGGCTCACCTACCTGCTGACTGACCTGGGAGAGCGGCCTCATTCTCCTCCAGTGCTGTACGTAGACAACAAGCCAGCCATTGCCTTGTGTGAGGAGCACAGAACGAAGCACATCGCTCTGTGTTACTTCCTAGCTCGAGAGTTGCAGCAGCGGGGTCCGCTTCGTCTTGCTCACGTGGCCACTCGGGCCAACACTGCTGATATATTCACCAAGGCGCTTCCGTCTGGTGATCATCATCGCTTTTGTACTTTGTTGGGCCTTGTGCCTACGTTTCCACACTTGCTGTAGACTCTGCTTGTACTGTGATCTGTATATATATATATACACCTGCATGCTTGCTTTTGCTAGGTAGTGATCACTGTGCTATTGCTGCATTTACATCTCTACATGTGAACTGGTCTTGTGGCCTCTTGCTTGTGCTCAGTGTGTGTGGTGACTTTGTGATCCACCCTGAGCTGTGTTTTGTTTCTTCTCTTGTCTGGTCTTGTGACCTTTGCTTGCTCTGACTATCCCCCATTTTGCCTATGGGGGTGTGTCAAGTTATATTTATATGTTATGTTTAGGTTGTCTAGGCTATATGGGGGTTAGCACTAGGGGGTAGAACATTTCTCTCGACATTCTTCTTGTACCCCCCCTTGACATTATCCATCACACAACTTCATGCCTAAGATTATAAGACATCGGAGCCGATCATCGAGCCCGAAAAAATCCTGAGCCATCAGATTCGACACCCCACGGGAATCAGGAGGATTGAATTCATCGTTCGCTGGAAGGACAGCATGCTAACTGAAGATAACTGGGTGCCCCTGGCCAACATTGAAAACCACCCTGCCCTGCAAGTGCACCTGAGGAGCCGGGGATTCCGCGATATACACGCACTCGCGTAGCGGAGCGGGCTTCTTGAAGGGGGGGGTAGTGTAAGGAATTTTCTCGGCATTCCTTACGGAACCCGACTACATCGCGTACAACAACAGCCGTTGTTCCCCCGTTACTGCTAACGGGACTTCGCCAACTTCGCGTGCAACGTTTTGTCAAACCTCGCACTGCTGGCCCAACAGTGTCGGCCTACGCTTCGGGACTAGCCCGAGCCTTGCTGCCAGCATAGCACTAGCTAGCTCGCACGCACCGCGTTACCGTTTGCATGTTTCACGTATAAATGTTCGCTCATGCCTTCGCTCATTTCTTTGTACTCGTTTCACACCTTAGTGCAATTTTCGCTACTTCGATTCATTGCATCCGTAACAGTACTTGAGACATGGGATTCATTCATATTCTTACAAAGCTGACGCTGAATGATTAGAGGAATGGTGGTGGTTGTAGCTTATGAAGCTGGGTAGATGCCAAGCCAACCACCATCCCTGAGTAGGTACGCATCATACTATCCCTCAGAGCACCATAGCAACATTATGAAAGCAGAATGTGGGGTGGAGCGTATTGAAATGGGGTTGATACACTGATATAGTCCGTTCATTGTTACAGTACTGGTATCAATTACACCTAGTCCGCGGTATTTTAACCGGCGCTATCTTAACCACGCGAGGGTACTTCTCCTTTATCAAACTTATTTAGTCGGGTTGTTTCAAACTTTACGAGGGTAGAATCTAGCATTCCCTTCGAGAGATGCCAGCAGGAAAAACTCAGTGAATGCTGAGTGTGACAAATGTCAATCCGTCTATCTTGGAGCACTAAGTGTGAGTTCCTTAGACGGAAGTGCTTTCGGCTGTAGAATCGTAGACTCGATGACTCTGGGTGCTAATAACATTACCCAGAAACGAACAAAGGGGGTTTGAAAGAACAAAGTTCACCTGGTTAAAATACCGCGGACTAGGTGTAGGAAGAATGTGTGCGTGTTTCATGATGACCAGCTGGATTCACATCACAAGCATTGAGAGGCGACAGCTTGCGAGCATCACAGCCAATGATACTGTACACGTGCTCTGCCTTCACCACCGTACGCTATCAATGATCAGAGTCTTTTGTGGTGCTAGATGAAGCCAGTTGGCTTACTTGGATATTTCTGTTGGGGTGATCCAATCTTGTTCGGGATACAATTGGGGTGGGGCGGGGAGCCCTGTCATCGGTAATGGCGTCCACCTCAGAGCAATGCGACAACCATACACATGTCGACACTTGATATACCTTTTTGGTACAAGCAGACACACGTAGATGAAACCACAAAAGTGGTGAATCACGAAATGTTCTGTTGGCGATGTTGACGAAGAACAGTAGCGGTTTTCTGCGGGCATGGCAGTGGCGCGCTTTACACGTATGAGGCCACGAAGCACAGTGACGAGGAGGGCGGGTCCGCATATCCGAGTCGTCCGAGAAAACAGTCTGGCACAGAGCAGCCCCGGTGCACCTCATTGGTCTGGTTTCGAACGGACACGTCATTCACTGCGTTATCGGGACAATAGTGACTGTAGGGCAAGACCTTGCTCGAGGGGGAGTCGCTGGCATCCGGCTTGCATTTGCGGCTCGAGATTACACCTGATGCGCGTTATAATCCCCCGTCGTTCCCTTGTCTTCTGGGCTGATAACCGATCTGCGCATTTCGCATGGTTCGTCAACATCGCCTGGGCTGTTGGGTGCTTATAAAAAGCACAGGCGGTAACATGTTTGTTTTTTCCATGTATAGTGTTGGGCGGCGTCCTTTGTTGCGCGCTAATGCACTGGGTTACCACATTTATCGAGACCCAACTATCACATGCAATTACAATTCACCTCTCCCTTCATCACAAACATCAATGAACGAATGGGATAGCCACAACTGTCTCTGACGCGACAAACAAACAACCTCCCCAACCCCCCCCCCCCCCCCCTCTCACCGGCCCTGCTGCGTTATGCAGTCACCGTTTACCACATTTGTGCATGAGTCGTGCACACTTGTGCAAATGCTGAATTTTGTACAATGCAGAGTGAATTTCACAGCCTCATCCACTCTGCCGCAGCGAGATATCCGCTCATCACGGCGGGAGCGCCAGCGTCGATAAGCTCCTGCCGGCGAGCAGATTGGGCAACCCAGTCAAGGGTCGGCACCGCCATCCACGCCGGCAAAAGGCGACCGCGGCGACGTGGAGTCTCAGCCGGCAGGGTGTCCTCGTGTGTCGGCGCTGGCGGCGGAGTAGCGTTAAGATTAAGTGCCGGGCTTGCACGCTCCATCCGCGCGATGATCATGGGGTTGCGGATGTCAAACAGCGCGCACAAATCTCTCGGCGTGATGCACGTCGCACGCGCGTACCCAATGAGCATCTCGCAGGCAGCGCGTGCAGTGCGACGAGCTTCACGCGTCGCAGGGTTGTTATCGTCGTACACCACTTGCGTCGCCGCCGGCGCCTCCCACATATTCGCCGTCTGCGCCGACGCCGGCTCCCGCGCCAGGGGGTCCTCGCCCGGCTCGGCGCACGTCGGCTGGTTGTCGTCAATTCCGACGAACTCGGAAGCAGGCAGCGCGGACGGCCCGAGGCCGAGTCGATCGATTAAAACGCCTACGTCGTTCAGCTCCTCGTCCAGGCCAATGTCACCCCCAGCCTGGACTTGTGAGTCGCCGCTTTGTTCCACGTGCGGGAGTTCCATCGCCCACGCCCGCGGTAGGCACTCGGTGCGCCACCAACAGCGCTGGATAGTGACGTGCGGGATATTCATCCACGCGTCATGGAGCCATTCCAGCACGCGACGGAGGTTCGGCTTGAACCTTGCCGCCGCAGAAGTCGCGCCATCAGCAGTCCACATGCCGGTGAAGGCGCGGAGCCAGTGCTGGCGGTACCGCGCATTCGTCATGGCGATCATCCCCTGGTCGAGTGGCTGCGTGAAGCAGGTGGTGTTCGGCGGCAGTCAGACGAGGCGCACGTTACTGAGCTTTCGCGTGCGGAACCCGAATAGATCCTCGGTTTCGGCGCCCTCGGTTGTCAGTGTGTGACTGCTCGCGTTGTCGAGCAGCACGACGACTCGGCGGCCCTCTGCGTACATAGCGGTGTCGAGCTGCTCAAAAAAGTGCGTGAAGAGCTGTAACACAAAGAGATGTAGGGAAAGTTGGGGTAGGTTAGGCGGCTTTGTCATGATCAAAAACATAGCCGACATCGGGTACATGTTAGGCAACATCGGGTACGATACTAACGAGGCGTTTAAAAAGTGTAAAAACGGACTCACGGCTTTGGTCATCCACCCCTTAGCGGTGTTGCGCCAGTAGCAATACTCCTCGGGGTCGAAATCCGGCCTGAAATCGTGTGGCCGCTTAGCCTTGGAGATGACAAGCGGACGGAATGCGTGCGTCCCGTCCGCATTAACCAAGAAGCCGACGGTCAGGCGGTCCTTCGAAACCTTCCGCCCGGCCGACCTGCCCGTGCCGTACGTTTTGCGAGGAAGCACGCTGATATACAGCGCAGTCTCGTCGAAGTTGAAAGTATCACGCGGGCGCACGCCGAGATGCATGAGAAGCTGAGGAAGCTTCTCCTTAGTGGTGCGCACTGCGTTGAGATCCTGGTCGGCCGCCTCGCCGACCGCGCTCATGCACCGTACTCCCTGGCGACGCAGCGCACGGCGGACCCAGCCGATGGAGCAACGGAAAGTCGGCGGAACGCCGTTCGCACGCGCCATCGTCGCAACATGGTCGGGAATAGTGGCGAGGGTCAGAGGGACGCCAACGGGGCCTGCATTCGAAATCCATCGTGCCATCGAGCGCTCCAGGGCGGGGTATGCCCCGCCGCGGACGCGAATGGCGTCCACGGCGTCATCAGGAACGTCCCACCGGTCGGCGCCTTTGAGAACGCGACCAATGGTCGAACGGTCGGGCCTCACACCAAAACGCGTGAAACACCATCGTGCGAGGTCCACGTGGCGCAGCAGAGGGTTTGCCTGATGATGGGCACAAATGGCCCGCTTGATGTGCAGCGCAAGCTGAGACCTATGGTAGAGACGAGGCATCTGGCGAGAATGTTAAGATAACTAAGCATGAATTGCAGTGCTGGTTGTCGAGTGGATTTATGCTGGTGCAATGGCGCTCGGATTAGTCACTATGTCTCGAGAGTGTGCGAGGTTTCGCAATTGCTGCGAGATGAACATGCATCTCTCGCAGTTTCAAGAGATTATGAGACTGGGTACCCACATCCACGAATAGTGACGTGTGTTGTTTGCGAACTGTGAGGCTCACAAGGGGCATGTACCGAGCATTGGCAATGTACACGTCGGAGTTACCTCACAAACACGAACTGTTAGGCGCACCTGGTTGATGCACAGGTGGCATGACGTAACATCAATTTTGGGTGGCGACGTTTTACGAATTTTGTCCTTACATTTCGTAGCTTCTGTTTCTGACTTAAAAACAGGGACAGGCCAACCGTCTGACGTTTGTCTTTTGCTGTGTTGCCCAGTTTGGGAGTATTCACCTGGTAGATGCAAGTGGTCTCAGGTGCTTATACCATAGGTGCAACACCAGGGCAAAAAACCCACGGGTGTAAGGTTTCCGAAATGTGCAGGGCTTTTTCGCGTGCAGGGGGTGGGCATCATGTGTACCAAAAATCTTTCGATGGATGCTATGCAAAGCAGACTGCGAGAGAGCTGCTCCAAAGCCTTGTTTAGTGATTCTTTCTTACCCACGTTGCCTCGAATTGCTAGGGTGGCCATCCAATTCAGTAATAATTGCTCGAGTGGCCACGCCAGGGGAATCCCGCTGGTTTTGTTTTACCCAGAGCATTACCCTACAAGTGTTTGCACCCTCGAAAGCTCTGTATTGATAATTGCGCGATCTTCAATATCCGAAATTTATGTTCGTGACCCCATATGACCGCTCCTGATTGGACGCGCATTGCAAATTAAAAGCTCCGCGCATATAATCGACCAATCATGCGCGGTCATTAAAGGTCCCGCGTATTGACGCCCGGGCATTGCAGTTTATGATCGTGGAAATATATTATCGGACATTAATATGATGCGCCCGACCATTAATGGCCGCGCATGATTGGTCGATTATATGCGCGTCCAATCAGGTGCGATCATATAGGGTCACGAACTTAAATTTCGAATATAAACCTTCGTGCGAAAACCAGCACAAAACTTTCGAGGAGAAATTGTCAGAATATTATCTTATTGTTCTAGCCTGTAGTGGGGTGCTCTATAGCGAGTACAACCCTTCTAGGGTTTGCTATTTGTATCCTCATTCTTGCTAGTTCAACAACCCTCTTTTGCCTAACTCTTTCTTGCCTAGCTAGTGCTTTCCTAGCTATGGCTCCTTCACTCTACCTACTACTTTGACATGTTATCAGAGCTAGTACGCTCCTGGCCTGTGGGCCCACCTGCTTCCGCTGCTATCCTGTCTGTCGCGCGCCCCGTGGCGTGCGACGTTTATTTTCTTCCCGCCACGTGCTCGGGGCGCATGGCGGTTTTCCGCCCACCGCGCGCTCGGGGCGTGCGGCGGTTTTCTGCCCACCGTGCGCCCCGAGGCGCGCGGCGGTTTCCTGCTTCGCGCGGCGGTATTCTGCACGCCATGCGCTCGGGACGCGTGGCAGTTTTCTGCCCACCGCGCACCCTGGGCGCACGCGGAGGTTTCGCGTTCCGTCGACCCGCACGCCCGTCCCCGTCGACCTGCGTGCGGCTCCTCGTCGCCCTTCGCGGCGGCCCCGTCAACCCGCGCGCGGCTCCCGGTCGCCCTTCCTGGCGGCCCCGTCGACCCGCGCGCCGCCTCCGGCGACCCGTGTGCCCGTCCCCGTCGACCCGCGTGTCGCCCTGCGGCCCCCCTCCCCGCACACCTGCGTTTGCTTACCGCACACCCGAGTTCGCTTCCCGCACGCTTGTGTATGTTTCGCGCACACCTGAGCTTGCTTACCGCACACTCAGGGTATGGGGGTGACGGGTATGGGGGTGGCGGGTATGCGCGGTCCCCTGCTCCTCCTCCTCCTTCGTCTCCCACTGCTGCAGCTGTCGCTGAGGGGGGTGGTTGTGTGGGAGATTGGGTTTAGGGTTTAAGGGAGGTGCGTGGGAGTAGAGCTAGTGGTGTAGCAGTGGGTGTGTATAAGGGGGGTGGGACTGTGTGCGGGAGGATGAGCGGAGGTTGCCAGTTTGTCGTCAGCAATACCTGTAGTCCGGGGCGCTGTCCCGGTAGCCCAGTCGTAGCCAGCTGTGCCAGCCGCCCGTGGGTCCGTTGCCCGTCCGCCGCTATTTGAGCCGCGGGGCCTGTTACCCCTGTAGTCCGGGCGCTGTCCGGTAGCCGCTGTGCCAGTCTGCCTCCTGTTGCCCGTGTGTCTGCAGCTTCAGCCGTCGCCTCCTGTCTCCTCTCCCCTCACTCTCCCTCCTCCTCCTCACTTGCCCGTTGTGACTACCACTAGCTTTGCTTAGAATTGTGAACTCTAAACTATTTCTTCTTGAACTTGTGCTCAGAATGTGTGGTGACATTGTGATCCACCCTGAGCTTGTTTTTGCTTTGCCTGCTCTGCTGATTACACCCCACTTTGGCTATGGGGGTGTGTCAGAATATTATCTTATTGTTCTAGCCTGTAGTGGGGTGCTCTATAGCGAGTACAACCCTTCTAGGGTTTGCTATTTGTATCCTCATTCTTGCTAGTTCAACAACCCTCTTTTGCCTAACTCTTTCTTGCCTAGCTAGTGCTTTCCTAGCTATGGCTCCTTCACTCTACCTACTACTTTGACAGAAATACCCTAGAAGGGTAAGGTTTCTTATAAATCCCCTTGCGAGGCCACTCGAGCAATTATCAGTCAATTGTAGGACCACGCGAGCAAACGGTAGCCACGTGTGCTTCACCGAATCACGAAACAAGGGTCTGGAGCAATTCTCTCGCAGACCGCACACCTCTGTCCCCACTCTCCCACCCCCCCAAATGTCACCACCTGAAACAAGCTTTGAGAGAATTGCTCCAGTGCCTTGTTTGGTGATTCGCTCTTGCTTACGTGTCCCCGAATTGCTCGCGTGGCCATCAAATTCAGTGATAATTGCTCGAGTGGCCACGCCAGGGGATTTTCGAGGAGTTTTGTTACCCTTCAAGAAATTTAGCCCCGAAAGTCCCCTCCCACGCAAGCGTTGGGTACTATTCCCCACTCGAAATTTTCGCAATGTCTAATATTCCCCGCGCATAAAACGGACCAATCATATTTAGACATTACGTGATTAGTCCGTTTTATGCGCGTGGCGTATTTAGACCCTGCGCGTTCAATCATATACGGTCTTATAAAGTTCCGATCATAAGTTTCGGATAAATGAAACCGCGCAATTACCTGTATGATCGCGGATATATATGCTCGAGCGGTTATTGGTTACGAATTCGTTTGACCGAGCGCTCATTGGTCGCGCATTGGGCTGAAATTGAGCGCTCATGTACTGCTGGTCGTTATTATTTGTCGTTTTCGTGTACAGTGAGTGGGCCACGTTCGTGTCCGCCCACTTTGGGGAATTATTCGAGTGGGGAATAGTACGCAACGCTTGCGCGGGATGAGACGAGTACGTGAGAGGAATTTCAGGGCTAAATTCCTTGTAGGGTAATGTGCTGGGGAAAACAAACACCTCGAAAATCCCCAGGCGTGGCCACTCGAGCAATTATCATTGAATTCGATGGCCACGCGAGCAATTCGGGGACTTGTGGGCAAGAGCGAATCATCAAACAAGGCACTGGAGCATTTCTCTCAACAAGCTGTTCTACAACTACACCCTGTTTCGCGCTAGCAGAGCATCTGGTTGCAGAACATGCACTGGTTGTAGAACGTCACCACGTTTGAAATGGTCTTATCACCGACGGTACAAGCACATTCACAAGAAAGCGGTTAGCTAGGATGCTGCATGGTAAAGAACATTAAACAAGCGTTTCAAAGCGGTTGAAAAGGGTATACAGCGATAAAGAAAAATTTTGCCCCCAGTACCACTCCGTCAGCTGGTGCGGCTTTGCCCGCAGGTTTCAGCCATACGGTTTATGGCACCTGACCGCACTGTAGCAGCGAATCGCGCAAGGTGAGAGGGTCGAGAAACAGGGTGTAATCCGTATCATCCGCCACACCTCACGAGTTTGGTCTAAGAGAATTTGTTGAACGCCTTATCTGTCCCAAGATTTCGACGAAGAGGAGGCGACGAAGCCTTTCTAGTGAGATAACCCTTCGGCCTGAAAGCCTCGCCATCCACCGTCTCGAAGAACAACCTTCACAGTTGCACATCCTTATCATCCAGAAATAGAGATCGCCCCAAGCCTACTTCCAGCACTACTGCTACTTCAAGCCCGACATCCGGTACGGCACATGCTACACAGCACGCAACCAGCTGATGTTCTTCGTGGGAAGCGGGCTGCAATGGCGTGCGTAACAAATGATAATATTCGTTGTGCTATGATTCGTTCCTCACGCGGCGAATGTGAGCGACCGTGCTTTCAGCTTCCCGTTCGCGGCGACGTGTCCGCCCCATACTCACCCCGCGCTCACCATCATACGGGCGCGGAAGACGTCGCGGACCATTGCGCAGGAAGGCTTCCTCCATCGCCCTGCTCTCCCCCGGAGCCCTCCCCCCGGTCGCTCCTCAGACGCGCCCACGAGCCCGTCCTCCGCCGCGTGACGGAGGAAGCCGCACGCTCCCCGCCGAGCGGCGGGATCTCGTCCTTAGTGAATCGCGCAGCAGCTCGCTGCATCCAGACTGGCAGTCCCTTTGACGAGTACGATGCGGCTGCGACGGAGCGAGCGGAATCGGTACTTCTACTTGCGCCGCGGGGTCCTCAAATCAAGCAGAAAGCGCGGGCGAGCTTGGACATGGCCGCGGCGGTCAGCACGTGCCGTACCTCTTGCATGATGCGTAGGAGCAGCAGCACTACCAGCAGCAACGGCAGCAGCAGCGGCAGCAGCAGCAGCAGCAGCAGCAGTAGCAACGGCTACGGTGGCAGCGGAAGCGGCAGCAACAGCGGGAACAGCCGCCCTCGTCGCAACAGTTACTGCGAAGAATTTCGACCGCCGAGTGGTAACCAGTCGCCAAGTGGCGTTTGTAACCCGAGGTTAACACCATGGCCCGGAGGCGGTGCGCGAATGAGACTTTCGCGATCTGCCGCAGACCTTGCCACGTTGAATACCCTCGCGGAGCGCGAGGAGTCCGGGGTGGCAGAGGATTTTTTTAAACTTAATCCTCGATGTGCATGGCGCGCAACGAGTCGCACAAGCGGTGGCAAAGCCGTCGGAAATGGGAGCGGCGGCAAAGACGAGCTGCCGATGCTGCCGCTGCGGGAGTCAGCCAGACGGAAATCGCAAGACTTTGTCGTCAGAACGCCCTTCCGGATCGAGGAAAGCGATTGCAGTGAGGATGAGGTGTACCGAACCTCGTCCTATCGAAGCTCTTATCGAAGCTCGTCCTATCGAACCGCCGACGTGTCGTCGTTGCAACCACGTGGTCTGTTTGACAAACTCTCGGACTCCAATGCCGAATCCAGCGCGCATGTCCACCAACATGGAACGGGTTTCGCCGTAAGTGGGGTGGGAGGACCGCGCGGAGTGCTGGACGGGCGGAAAATGCGCCTCAGCCTGAGTGATTCTGTCGACGATCATCCCGCCAGCGCCAATCATGCCACCACGCCGCGCGCCTGCAGCCGCCGCACGGTCACGTGGTCCGCCGCGGAGAAGAAGGAAAATAGGATGCGCGGAGTCGCCGCGGCAGGCAGCACCGTTGCCCCAGTGATGCGGGTGGAGGACGGCGCCGCGCGCGCCGCGCGCGCGGCGGGGTGCTTGGACGCGCTGATTGCGTTGAAGAGCGCGCAGATTGACGCAGTGAGGCGGGAACGTGCGCAGATGAGCGCGGAACTGGCGGAAGGGGTGAAGCAGGTGCGGAGCATGGAAACGGGGATGGCGGAGCGACGACGCGTTATTGAAAGCCTCATTGCACGGATATCGGAGAAGCAGGACATGAAATGTAAAGACGGGGCGACGGGCGGGAAGGGTACATTGGGGGAAGCGGTGGAGGGGGAAGGCACGGAGGATGACATGGGAAGCCTATATGATGACGAAGAGGAAGATATGCTGGAGGTTGTGGGGTGTGATGGGGTTGGGAGCAGCGCGCAGGAGTTAAGGGCGATGCTAAAGGTCGCGATGCACGAGATGATGACTGATTTGAGACAACTGGAGCTCGCCGCCCTTCACGCGCAGTACAGAAGCGGCGAGGTACGAGGTAAGACGGGCGATCAGAGAGCATGCATGCGTTTTATTATTATTCAAGCTGACTTGGCATGCTCGTTGTTTTACAAGCTTCTGTGCGTTTTTGAGTCTGCCTGAACATGTGGGTTTTCCTTGCGTGTTTCTGTCATCATGCCTCCATTGCAGGCGATATGCGGCGTAAATCCGCGGAGATGGTGGGCATGAGAGAGGCGAGGGAGCAGCTGGTGCGGCGGAAAGACCAGCTGGTGCAGCAGCAGCTGCTGCTTCCTGCTGGCTAGAGGGCTAAAGCTGACGGGAGAAAATATGTGGCTGTAGAAAGCGGTAAAATGCGTTCAATCGGGTTAGGAAATTGATCGTCGGCTATTTATATGCTGTAGTTGGTTTGATAGGAATATAGGTCTATATTCTAAGTGCATAACTGTAATTTCGGACTGTAGAGCATTGTGCACTGGCGTATAGCACGGATTTTCCAGACCACGATCCCACATTTGCCATGCTGCCGCATGGCAAATCTCATGCGCTGCTGTCGCCGCAGCGCCGCCAACTGCGCAGTCGCAGTGGCGGGATGGATCATGGATCACGGAGTGAAGCCATTCAAACCTGCACACTTGATTAGTGCGAAGTCACTTTTACGAGGGACCACGGAGTGTCGAAAGTCAGACCCTGCTAGTTGTATCCGTGGTTGCTTTCTGTTGCTTCGTATCGCTGTTGGGCACGTTGCTCCTTCTAGTGCCGCGACGGTTGCACTATTAGCGCGCCACGCTATCTTCTACCAGCGCGACATCGAGTCGCGATGGCTCCACCGGAGTCGCACATATTCGACGAGGCCGCGATGCCGCGTGGACCGGCGAACTACGCGCCGCTCACACCGCTGACTTTCCTCGAGAGGGCGGCGCGGGTCCATCCCGACTCGCCGTCCGTGATCTACGGCCGGCGGCGCTTCACGTGGGCGCAAACCTTCCTCCGCTGCTGCCAGCTCGCCGCGGCGCTGGAGCGCGCGTGCGCGCGGAGATACGAGCGCGTGGCGGTGCTTGCGCCGAACGTGCCCGCGGCGTACGAGGCGCAGTTCGGCGTGCCGCTCGCGGGCGCCGTGCTCGTGTCCGTCAACGCGCGCCTCGATGCCGCCTCCGTCGCGCGCATTCTCGCGCACAGCGATAGCAAGGTGTGCCATGTGGTGCCAAGCGGTTTGAATGCGAGAAAATTCCCTCTAATGCTCCCGCTGCTCTCTCTGCTCCCTTTCTGCTCTCTTGTGTGCACCTCTCTCTGTTCTCGCGCTCGCCCCTTCCTCCTCTCTCTCGCCACTTCCCTCCCCAACCCTACTCTCACTCCCACCCTCCCTCCCCCATAACACTCATCACACTCTTCCACTCTCGTATTTCCATTCCCCCCTCTCCCACGTCCTCCTTCCTCCTTATCTCTCCCCCCCTTCTTTCCCCCACTTCAGATTCTTCTGGTGGACCAACACTTGGCGTCTCTCGCTCTCTCTGCACTCTCCCTACTCCCCACCACTGCCACTCCCGCCCACACATCCCACGTGCGTCCAAAAATCGTGCTAATAGCGGATGACGAGGTTCACTCGTCTGCTGACATGGCGGATCCGGGCGGCGAGCAGGCGGATACAGAGGGGTTGGGAGCGGTGGGGGAGTATGAGGAGTGGATAGCAGCTGTGCCATGCATTGGGCCTGTGTCTGGTTCCCAACTTGCAACTGCCCTAGCAGCTGCTGCCACTGCTGGTGATGGTGATGCTGCTGCTGGTGGGGATGCTTTTGGTGTTGATCACTCAGGTAGTGCCAATACTGCTTTTAGTACCGATCCCTTTGTTTCACGCCCGCATTTGCTCCCTCTCGTCGCTGACGTGGCAAATTCCGACTGGTGGGCATCCCACCAACCATGGGATGAGCAGGACCCAATAGCCATCAACTACACCTCAGGCACCACGTCAGCACAACCCAAGGGCGTGGTCTACTCCCACCGTGGCGCTTACCTAAACGCGCTAAGCGCCGCACTTATGGTGCAGCTGCGCACGCACGCGGTGTTCCTGCTCTCTGTCCCGCTCTTCCACTGCAACGCGTGGTGCTTCAGCTGGTCGCTCCCTGCTGTCTCCGGCACAGGTGTGCTTATAAGAAATGTGAGTGCTCGCGCGATTTTTGCGGCGGTGGCGGAGAGAGGGGTGGAGGTGATGGTGGGGGTGCCGGTGATGCTGAATCTGATGGTGAATGCTGATGAGGAGGATAAGGCATTGCTGGGAGCTAGGCGAGGAGGGAACGGAGAGGAACGAGGGGAGGTGCAGCAGATAGGGTGGGGTAACGATGAGCAACAGCATGGGGTAACCAGCAGGATAAGCAACAGGGTTACCAAGAGGGTTACGGTACTGACAGGAGGTGCCCCTCCCCCAGCAGCCATTTTGGCTCAAATGGAACAGCTAGGCTTCGACGTTAGCCATTCGTATGGATTAACAGAGACCTATGGCCCGGCTATGTTCTGTGACTGGAAACCCCGCTGGGACTCCTTACCCTTGCCCGACCGCGCGAGAATCAAATCTCGGCAGGGCGTGCGGCACATCGGGTTGCAGACTGCTACAGTGGTTGATAATAGGACGCTCCGGCCTGTGCCTATGGACAGTGTGACTATAGGCGAGGTGGTGTTTCGAGGGAATACAGTTATGCGGGGGTATCTACATGGGAGGGAGGAGACAGCTGCTGCGTTTGCGGGTGGGTGGTTCCACTCGGGAGATCTGGCCGTGGTGCACCCAGATGGTTATGTGGAGATTAAAGACCGTTCTAAGGATATAATCATCTCTGGAGGGGAGAATATAAGCAGTATTGCTGTGGAGGGGGTGTTGTACCGGCATTCTGCAGTGATGGAAGCAGCAGTGGTGGCTAGACCTGATGATAAATGGGGTGAAACACCTTGTGCCTTTGTGGGCCTCAAACCTGGTTACACGGTTACTGGTGGAGCTGCGACTGATGGTGCAACTGATGCTGCCAGTGCAGGGGGGGTTGAGAAGGTGGGATCTGGACAGGTGGTATCTGAGGAAGATGTCATTCTGTTTTGCCGAGAGCATCTGCCACACTTTATGGCACCCAAGAGCGTTGTTTTCGGCGCGCTGCCCAAGACTGCGACAGGCAAGATCCAAAAGTTTTTGCTGCGGGAGAGAGCGAAGCAGCTAGGCTCGCTGCCTTGGCAGGGGCACAGGAGCAAGCTGTAATATTCATTGAGAATACAATCATAGTGCAACCGAATGTTGGCAACCAGATAGTGAGATATTATGGTACTTGTTAGCCTATTGGCACATTGTGCCAAGTTCTATTCACTGTTACCATGCCTGACATGTATGTATACATTTCAACGGGTAATGATTACTAAACACACTGTTATCCACTCACTGTCAGGCGCACTGAAAAGTGGCCAGGTGACTGCCAATGCTGGTGATTATATCGACTGTCCCCCCTCTCCCCGCCACTGCCACAAGCTGTGAAGGGAAGAAGAGAGCAAGCAAAGGGTTGAGAGGGAACGAGGGAGGAGTGTTGGAGATAGGGCATCGCACGCACACATAGTAGAAACGGGGGGACAGTGACCATTTGATAATTATAAAAAAATCCCTGCAGGGTTGAGAGGGAGTGAGGGAGGAGCGTCAGAGATAGGGCATCATGCACACAGTGGAAATGCGGGGGACAGTGAGGAAGAGAAGATTGAGAAGGAGAGAGTGAGGAGTGAGAGTGTGAGAGAGAAAGCGTGAAAATGGAGAGGTAGGGTTGGGAGGAAGTCAGACAGATTTCCTGACACACCAATAGGAGGAGCTGAGGGGAGCACGCAGTGAGAGGCAGAGGCAACTTTCATGCAACAAGGAGCACCTGCCCCTTGTTAAGACGTATCTCCCAACCTCCGCCAACCTCTGCCAACCTCTGCCAATCTCCATCGACCTCTGGCAACCTGTTAACCAACAGAAATTTTACATTCCTGGGAGATAAATGTCTAGAAAGAAGGCCTTGTTGTAAAAGGGTGTTGCCACATGGAAGGGAGGGTGCTACCTGGGAAGGTGTTACCTGGGACGGCGAATGTGAATGGAGGGAGTAGATGGATCGCATGGCCGTGGCAGTTAGTGACTTGAGCTGGCCGGCAAAAGTTAACCGAGTCAACACAGCGCTGGCTCCCGCCACTAGTATCTGATGCGATGCAGAGAGAGAAAGAGCGAGAGGGGCGGCAGCGGGGAAGAGGGAAAGAGGTTATTAGCCACCTAAAGAAAAGTCAACCAAGTCAACACAGCGCTGGCTCCTGCCACAAGTAGCTAGTGGCCAGCAGGGAGAGAGGGGGAGGTGTGTTGACGGGGGGGAGAGGGAAGGGGAACAGGAGACGGGAGGATGGGAGAGTTGGTGCAGGGGAAAAGGGGTAAATGGGGGTGAAGAGGGGTGGAGTGGTGGATGGGTAGGTGAGGCGAGTGGAATCGTTGATATGAAGGATGAAGGGTAGATGCATGCAGTAAGGCGACACATGGGGATGGATAGGAAAGAACCTTGCCCATGCCCCCCCCATGTCCCCCCCATGCCTCCCCTATGCCTCGCTCGCACTTGCCTTCCCCATGCCTTCCCCATGCCCACCATGCCTCACTCATCATACTTGATGCCCCACCCATGCCTCACTCATCATACTTGATGCCCCACCCATGCCTCACTCATCATACTTGATGCCCCACCCATGCCTCACTCATCATACTTGATGCCCCACCCATGCCTCACTCATCATACTTGATGCCCCACCCATGCCTCACTCATCATACTTGATGCCCCACCCATGCCTCACTCATCATACTTGATGCCCCACCCATGCCTCACCTCATCATACTTGATGCCCCACCCATGCCTCACTCATCATACTTGATGCCCCACCCATGCCTCACTCATCATACTTGATGCCCCACCCATGCCTCACTCATCATACTTGATGCCCCACCCATGCCTCACTCATCATACTTGATGCCCCACCCATGCCTCACCTCATCATACTTGATGCCCCACCCATGCCTCACTCATCATACTTGATGCCCCACCCATGCCTCACTCATCATACTTGATGCCCCACCCATGCCTCACTCATCATACTTGATGCCCCACCCATGCCTCACTCATCATACTTGATGCCCCACCATGCCTCACTCATCATACTTGATGCCCCACCCATGCCTCACTCATCATACTTGATGCCCCACCCATGCCTCACCTCATCATACTTGATGCCCCACCCATGCCTCACTCATCATACTTGATGCCCCACCCATGCCTCACTCATCATACTTGATGCCCCACCCATGCCTCACCTCATCATACTTGATGCCCCACCCATGCCTCACTCATCATACTTGATGCCCCACCCATGCCTCACTCATCATACTTGATGCCCCACCCATGCCTCACTCATCATACTTGATGCCCCACCCATGCCTCACTCATCATACTTGATGCCCCACCCATGCCTCACTCATCATACTTGATGCCCCACCCATGCCTCACCTCATCATACTTGATGCCCCACCCATGCCTCACTCATCATACTTGATGCCCCACCCATGCCTCACTCATCATACTTGATGCCCCACCCATGCCTCACTCATCATACTTGATGCCCCACCCATGCCTCACTCATCATACTTGATGCCCCACCCATGCCTCACTCATCATACTTGATGCCCCACCCATGCCTCACTCATCATACTTGATGCCCCACCCATGCCTCACTCATCATACTTGATGCCCCACCATGCCTCACTCATCATACTTGATGCTCCACCCATGCCTCACTCATCATACTTGATGCCCCACCCATGCCTCACTCATCATACTTGATGCCCCACCCATGCCTCACTCATCATACTTGATGCCCCACCCAGCTCTCACCTCATCTACGTCCCTCCCCATGTCCACCGGCGCGCTGAAGACACGTGCAGTAGAGCCAGACGATTGGGCACATGACAGCCCTTGCCACATCCCCCATGCCCCGCCCCCATGCCCCACCCCCATGCCCCGCCCCCATGCCCCGCCCCCATGCCCCGCCCCCATGCCCCGCCCCCATGCCCCGCCCCCATGCCCCGCCCCCATGCCCTGCCCCCATGCCCCGGCCCCATGGCCCGCCCCCATGCCCCACCCATGCGCCCCCCATCTCTCTCACCTCATCTGCGTCCCTCCCCATGGCCATCGCATGCACTAGTGTGCTCAGAGACACGTGCAGCAGCGCCAGATGACTAGTGCTGTAATTGATTATACAGGTTGGTGTAATTCGGGTCCTTGTCATGGTTTTTTTGAAATGTTCTGATATTGTGGAAGGAGACGGCAACGAAATGTATCCAGATCCTTTCTTTAAGCGACAATACGATCATTATGCAAGATTGTGCAACAACAATCCCGGCACTAGTCTGACTTTTTTCAATGGTTGTAGTATGGTTAGTAAATATGGAACAACAATGCCAGTTAACCAACAAAAAAATAGTCGGACTAGAGCTGGGATTGCTGCTGCACAACTTTGAGTAATGATCGGATTGTTGCTTAAAGAAATGATTTGGATACATTTTGTCACCATCTCCTTCCACAAATGAGAACCTTCAAGCAGCACTGACAGCTGAAATTGCACCAACCAGCACAATTGAAACCCTCCCATCTTCGTTTACGCCCTCTCCATGCCATCACCTCATCCGCTGCGTCTCTCATCATGGCCACAGCATGCATTGGTGCGCCAAGAAACATGTGCAGCAGAGCCTTATGACTGGGCCCAACAAAGACATCTACCATGCCTCACCCAGCTCTCACCTCATCTGCGTCTCTCCCCATGGCCACCGCATGCACCGGTGCGGCCAGAAACATGTGCAGCAGAGCCTTATGACTGGGCCCAAAGACACCCACCATGCCTCCCCCATGACTCTCTCTCACCTCATCCGCATCCCTCCCCATGGCCACCGCATGCACTGGCGCGCCAAGAGACACACGCAGCAGTGCAGAGGCGGGTGCCTGCAGCGAGAAGAGAGACGCCGTGCTGCCGCCTGTGCCACACAGCTGTGGGCAGCAAAGGAGAGGGCGGGCGGCAAGGAGAGGGGGGGCAGCAGAGGAGAGGGCGGGCGGCAAGCCGGCGGAAGGGGCGGCAACAGAGGCAGTGGAGGGAAGGGAGGGAAGGGAAAGGAGGGAGGGAGTGAGGTGGATGGAGGGAAGGGACGATGAGAAAAGGTGCATACCGGAGATGAGGAGGTGAAGAAATGAGTGTGAGTCGACTCAGACGCGCACTTGGTTACAAGATCAGAGAGTGTGAGAGATGAGAGACATGCAAGAGATGAGGGCAGGTGCGGGAGATGAGGGGAAGAGAGAGATGAGGGGGATGGGAGGGGTGAGAGTGATGGCTCACCAGCCAGGGAGCCTTGGAGTCGACTGCTACACTGCTGACCCAAGGCGGGGAGAGGGAGGAAGAGGGCGAGGAGGTGGAGGAGGTGGGGGAGAGGGGTGCTTTTGAGACGACTGAAAAGGACTCACCAGCCATGGAGTTGTGGAGTCAGTTGCTATACTGCTGACCCAAGGCGAGGCGGGGGAGGAGGACGAAGAGGGGGAGAGGGGTGCTTGGCGCGCAGTGAAGGGGTTGAGACACAGCACTGTGGTGGCTGTGCGGCAATCTGGTGGGTGGGGTGGGAGGAGATGAGAGGAGGGAGGAGGAGAGAGGTTGAGAGGATGGTGAGGATGAATGGAGAAGACTGGGGGGGATGAGAAGACTGGGAGATGAGAGGGCCAATAGGAAGGAAGGGTTACGTATGGAATTGGCAGCTAAGTTGACGATGAAAGGGCTGTTAGAGGGAGAACAAGAATTGCTTGAGGTCGGGCAGGCGGCAGGTAGGAGGGTCAGAGAAAAGGAGCAGCGGGGGATGTTGATGAATACACCTGCCAAGAACCTCAAGTTCATGCCCACCATCCCATGCCCATGCCCATGCCCATGCCCATGCCCATGCCCATGCACATGCACATGCCCACTCCCCATATCCATGCCCATGCCTGCGTCCACATGAATTTCAGTTGGATCAAACGCATACTCATGTCTGCACCACATATGTGCATGCGCCAACCCATTCCACCACATCACAGCATGCCAGCCCAGCGGCCCCACCCACCCCATACTCGGCATGTGCCGTCCTCAGACCCCGTCACTATCTGAGGTGAGCGGAGGGGTAGGGGTACGGGTAGGGGTAGGGGAGGGGGATGAGGACGGGAAAGGGGAAGGGGAAGCAGAGGGTGAGGGTGACGGGGAGTGGGGGGGGGAGAGAGGGGGTGAGGAGGTAGCAGGCGACGAGGGAGAATGGGGGTGGGGGAGGGGACCGAAAAGGACAGGAGAGAGGAGAGGTAGAGAATAGAACATCTAAGCAATGCCACCCAACCCACTCAGCACACGCCACCCTCTGACCCTGTCACTATGTGAGTCGCCAGGCAAGGTGAGAGGTAGGCCAGGACAAGAGTGAGAGGGGGAGAGTGGGGGCGGCGGGTGGGGAGGGAGGAGGAAGAGAGTGAGGGTCAACGGGTTGAGCGGGAGGGGGGGGGTGTGGGAGAGGGTAAGAGAGGGAAAGCGAGCTTGTGAGAAGGTAAGGTTAAAGGACCAATTGGAACTATTCTTTTTTTGCAGTAGCGACACCACCCGCTTTTTTGTTTTCTGACCTGACCACATCTGCTGTTCATGACTAATACTACCTGGCTCTGTTTTTTTTCACCTGGCGCTTACATTCACCTGGCGCTTACATTCACCTGGCGCTTACATTCACCTGGCGCTTACATTCACCTGGCGCTTACATTCACCTGGCTTTGTTCTCACCTGGTGGTGCTGCGGCCGTGCCACCACACAGTGCAGGTAGTCTGAGTGGCCCCTAAACTCAGCGACCCGCTTCTGAGACTCCTGAAAAAGCACATGAGAGGGAGGGCAAGTAAGGGGGAGGAAGGCATGATTTGAGGCGCCTAGAAAATCTCCTTGCTTCAGGCAGAAAAGTAAGGGGGAGATAGGCGTGTGTAGAAGTGGAAAGGCGAAGCAAGTGTATAAAATGGAAGCGAGTTGACTTTTGAGTTGAGAGGTGGAAAGGCGAAGCACGTGTATGAAATGGAAGCGGGCGAGAGGTGGAAACAAGAAAGTGAGGCAGCGCGTGTTGAGGCATCAAAGAGAATCAGAGCAGGAGAAGTCCCAAGCAACCCCCCCTTTCTAACCTCTACTAACCCAACCACCATGTCTCATCTCATCTATACTCACCACGTCCCATGCGTATGCACACCCGTTGCCTGCTGCACTGTAAATGGTGTTCCTCTGCAGTGGTTTTGCAGGAGTTGGGAGGAATGGGTGGGTGGGTGTACGGAAGGGGTGCAGAGGGATACAAGTGCCTTGTGAGGTGCAGAGAGGGGAGAGAAGTGTGCAATGATGGGATGCGAATGCAGCATGCGGTCCGCAAATTGCGCCGTGCACCATGCATGCACCATGGAACATGCACCATGCATGCACCATGGAACATGCACCATGCGTGTGCACAACCGCTCGTCAACATCAATGGCGTTGGTCTCCGGCACCATTGCCATGCACCATTGCCATGCACCATTGCCATGCACCATGCACCATGCACCATTGCCATGCACCATTGCCATGCACCATGCACCATGCACCATTGCCATGCACCATGCACCATGCACCATGCACCATGCACCATTGCCATGCACCATGCACCATGCACCATGCACCATGCACCATGCACCATTGCCATGCACCATGCACCATGCACCATGCACCATTGCCATGCACCATGCACCATTGCCATGCACCATGCACCATGCACCATGCACCATTGCCATGCACCATGCACCATTGCCATGCACCATGCACCATGCACCATGCACCATGCACCATTGCCATGCACCATTGCCATGCACCATGCACCATGCACCATTGCCATGCACCATGCACCATGCACCATGCACCATGCACCATTGCCATGCACCATGCACCATGCACCATGCACCATGCACCATGCACCATGCACCATGCACCATTGCCATGCACCATGCACCATGCACCATGCACCATTGCCATGCACCATGCACCATTGCCATGCACCATGCACCATGCACCATTGCCATGCACCATGCACCATGCACCATTGCCATGCACCATTGCCATGCACCATGCACCATTGCCATGCACCATGCACCATGCACCATGCACCATTGCCATGCACCATGCACCATTGCCATGCACCATGCACCATGCACCATGCACCATGTGTGCACACACACACCTGCTCGTCAACATCAATGGCGTTGGTCTCTGGCACCACTGCCACGCCCCTTGCAGCAGCCCACGTGGTGGGGGGGTTGACCAGGTCAACGCAGGGGGCCACTTGAGGGGCTGGGAGTTGGAGTGGGGGGAGTTGGGGGTGGAGCAGTGGGGTTGGGTTGACCAGGTCAACGCAGGGGTGGACCTTTTACCAAGCATATTTTGGGTACGTGAGCGCTACATAGAACATGCACGTGGCGCCCTGGTGAGAGGAATGTGGTTCTGGACACCGGAAAAATAGCATGCTGTGAAAACAAGAATCGAGAATAGCTGAGTAAGAGGTGACTTTTGAGTTGACTCCAAAGTCACCTCGTTCTGGACACCTGAAGAAAGACTAGCATGCTGTGAAAAAAAGATTTAGGATTAGCCGAGTAAGAGTTAGCATGTGTTAAAGGTTGTAAGAAGCCTGTGAAGGAGCTGACTTGTTGAGTGGCAGACTCACCGTGAGCAGGAGTGGACGAGAGAAAGTCGCTCCACTCCACCGCCACTATTTTTGAGGCGCCTCAAAAATTGCAACGAGGTTATGAAGGAGCTGACTAGCTGAGCGGCAGGCTCACCTTGAGCAGGATTGGATGAGAGGAGGTCGCTCCACCGCCACCCTGCAACACGACCGTCGTCCCCGCAGCTGCCACATCAGCACAAACAAGCCTTCAGCAGCACTTTCAGCACTCGCCACGCCACATATTCATTCAGCTGTCTGTAACTCTAGAAAATAGAACCAAGGATGGGAAGAAAGAAGAATAAGCTTTCTGTATTCTTCTGCAGGCCTAGAAATGAAGGGCCTGGGAGTTAGACCCTCGATCCCCTCCCCACCTGAACAGCAGCGGCTGTCCCCCCATAGCGCACGTCTTGAGCCCAAACGCCGCCCCCTTGTGCGCCTGCACCGCTGCTGCGGGCTGCGCCTCCCCCACGCGCCTCGCCCCCTCCCCCGCCTCCCCCCAAGGCCCGCCGCCGCGCTGGCCATGCGCGGGGACAGGGGAGGCGGGAAGAGAGGCGGCGGGGAAAAGAGTTTTGGGGTGACTGAATGAAAAGGGGGTAAGGGGGGGGGGGGTGTTGTGGGGAGGGGAGGTGGAGACACGAGGAAGGCGCGGAGGGGGGAATGCCTCTCTTTTAGGAATAGGATAGGGGTTCCTTCGCCGACCCTGGAATTTAAAGTACCTGCGAGGCGACTAACGAAGCCAGCGAGTGAACCGATACGCGACCGCTGCTCGAAGCACATGCGACGAGCCGCGGCGCTGCTGACGTGGACGGCCACGTTTCGTCCCTCAGCTCTCCAGCTGGCATGCTGACGTGGTCACCTGGAACGAGCAGCGCAGCGTAGATCACGCTCCCGGCTAGCTTCCGCTCGCGCAAAACGCGCTCAGCGTAAGCCGAGGCGTCGTAGTTGCGACAATCCATGGCAGACGGAGGAGCAACGAGTGCGGTTCGCTGATTCGAGCTAGCCGTTGGCTGATCGCCATGAACTCCGCGGGCCGAATGCGGCACTCGTGCTTCGGCATCGTCTGTGGACCGTTCAACCCGGTCCTTAAGTACGTCGTCATCTCGCCAGTCCTCTCCGTAGTCCACGGCATCCAAATCCATGGTCCCTCGCCAGTCTAGCGGTGTCTTGAGGTGGTGTGCGCTAACTCCGAAATCTCAATACGCTTTTGTGCACCAAATTTCGTACCCGCGTGGCCTAATGGATAAGGCATCTGACTTCTAATCAGAGGATTGTGGGTTCGAGTCCCATCGTGGGTGCACTTCTTGTTGCTGAGACGTGGTCCAAAGGGAAAAATTGGGAACCTGTCTTCTTAATGGTTTGTTACACCTGTTCTGACATATCTCAGGGAAACTCAAATCAACAAGCATTTTTTATCTGTACGTCTGCATCACCATACGTTCTTCTTTCTTCTGTTTTAATTTTGATCTCATTATCCAGCAATGCTCACAAGACCCCCAGGCATGTTGACGTACATGCATCCAAAAGTAATCAGTATGTTCTTAAGCCCTGGCTCAAGGGCGTGGAATAAGTACAACAAACACAAAAACCTCCGTTCCCTACTACAATCTCTAGCTCTAACTCATGTGAAGATGGTAACCACATCCCGGCGGTAACCACGGACCATAAGCAAGCGCGGGATATTGTTGACAAGCAAGTCCATGTACTCCATGTAGCAATAAGGGGGATGGTTCTGAGGGGGAGGCGGGAGACTGACGAGCACCACAGCAGCCATGCGCGAGTACCGCAGAATAATGGAGTTGAGCTTGATTGTGGTGTAGAGGAACTTATTCACCTTGCTCTCGTCCAGCAGTGAGTGGTGCGTCTCAGCCTCGGGGTCCTCGCTCATTCTCTGGGCTATGTTGCGCCGCGCCTGGGGGTGGGGTTGGGTTGCAGTGAGGCAGGGGGTGGGGTAGGAAGGGATGGGATGGAATGGGATGAAGATTTGAGTGTGAAAAATGAATCCAGAGCCTTAGCTGCAGCATAGACTTGTGCCCACACCATTATTACCACCTCTAGCCACTCAACACCAGCCACCGTATCGAACATCCCCATGATGCCTTGCCTAACCAGTTCAACCTCCATCCACTTCAACCTTTGACACACATCCGGCCACACCTTCACGGTCACCACTGAAGCACGCACCACCCATTTGCAGGACTGTGAATGTACAGGTGAACGTGCACTGGTGCGTGGGGGGTACCACTGCAGCCCCACACACCCGCACAACGGCTTGTCCAAATCCCCACTCAGTGCTTGTACTCAGGGTTTGCATCTGTGACCAGTCCCACAGCCTATCCTGCATGGCACACTCCTCCCACTCACGTGCGTGAAAGCCTCCATGGCGCCTTGCCGGGCGAGCTCTGCCTCAGCGCACTCAGCATCGGGGTGGCTTTTGAGTCGACTCAAAAGTTGCCTCAGCGCCCTCAGCATCGGACACCACGTCCTCCCATGCCTTCATGGTGATAACCAACCCCAGCACCGCAGACTTTCCACCATGACTGTGAATGCAAGGCAAGGGGCACCACCGTACCACTCACCCTCACAGGTGCCTGCATGCCTGGCTGCAATCTGCAACCATTTCCCTGAAGAACCCTGCATGGCACACTCCCACTCACCCGAGTGAAAGCCTCCATGGCGCCTTGCCGGGCGAGCTCTGCCTCAGCGCCCTCAGCATCGGACACGACGTCTTCCCACGCCTTCATGGTGACGACAATGACGTCAGCCTGCATGCGCAGGTCGTACAGGAACTTGCTCACGTCCAGCTTCAGGTTCTCCGCGCCTGTGTCCTCCTCCGCAATGCAGAACACCTGCAGGCGTCCAGCGGTGGAAGGGGAGAAGTGACAGTGGTTATTCGTGCATAAGCAACATTCAATACAGTCATTCCATTGCTCAAGTCCAGCTTCAGGTTCTCCGCTCCAGTGTTCCTCTGCAATGCAGAACACCTGCAGGCGCGCGCAGAGGAGTGCAGGGGCAGTACGGGCGGCAAGGGAGCAAAGGTTAGTGGTTCTAGGGGCACAGGCGAACTCATGGGAATAGTCATTAAGCTTGCTCACGTGCAGCTTCAGGTTCTCTGCTTCTGTGCCCTCCTCGTGCTCGCGGACGAGTCATCAGATACAGGTACTTATGCATGAGTCACTCACCTGGATCTTGCAGTTCTCAAAGCTCTCTTTCGCCCGCGGAAGCTGGGACAGCAGCAGCATGATGCCACCGTCCCTCACGATCCAGTGGAGGTCGATGGTGCCATACTGCTTCTGGTACTCTCGCCCTTTCAGGATGGGCTTGCGGGTCAACTGACCAGTCAACACATGGCATTTACGCACGAGACACATACCTGGATCTTGCAGTTCTCAAAGCTCTCTTTCGCCCGCGGAAGCTGGGACAGCATCAGCATGATGCCACCGTCCCTCACGATCCAGTGGAGGTCGATGGTGCCATACTGCTTCTGGTACTCTCGCCCTTTCAGGATGGGCTTGCGGGTCAACTGACCAGTCAACACATGGCATTTACGTGAGAGACACATACCTGGATCTTGCAGTTCTCAAAGCTCTCTTTTGCCCGCAGCAGCTGGGACAGCAGCAGCATGATGCCTCCATCCCGCACGATCCAGTAGAGGTCGATGGTGCCGTACTGCTTCTGGTACTCGCCCGGCCACTCGTCCAGCCCCTTCACGATCACACACGCCTTGTTCGCTGTGTTGCAGTCGTTGATGACGTTCACAAACGTGCCGGGGATGTCCCTGTAGGCGCCAGTAGGGGAGGAGGAGGAGGAGGAGGGGCTTGACGTTGATTTTTTTTTTTTCCTTTTCCACGGAAATCCTCGCATGTAACCTGCCCTCCAAATGCCTTTGCGCCAGATCTCAGGGTAACACATGCGCACGATGTTGGACGTTGGGCCTAGTTTTGAGTCGACTCAAAACGATGTTGGATATTGGGGGTTTTTGTGTTGTATTGATTTTTGATTTGATTTGTTTTGTTTGTGGTTTTGTTTTTCTCTCCCCAAACGCCTGAAAAACGAAAAAAAATGACTCTAAAAAAAGCTCCTCACCTTTGGATGTCTTCGCGCCAGATCTCAGGGTAGCGCATGCACACAATGTTGGGCTTGAGATTCGCGAGGCCCATGGTCTGCGCGGCAATGCGGAATCCTTTGGGACATACCTCAGACCAGACTTCTCACCTCTTACTTCACCTCTCGCCTCACCTCTGGATGTCTTCGCGCCAGATCTCAGGGTAGCGCATGCACACGATGTTGGGCTTGAGATTCGCCAGCCCCATGGTTTGCACTGCGATGCGGAATCCCTCGTTGAGCGAGTCAGCCACGATGGCCTCTGCCACCCCCTCACAGCGCTTGTAGTCAATGTAGCTCAGCAGCAGGTGGCTCGCTGACCGTGCATCCTCTGCCCGGTCCCTGGTCAAGTGGGCGAGAAGGCATGGTTGGAAGGGCGATTTGCAGGGAGTGGGGTTGAAAATGAGAGTGGAGTGAGAAAAGGAGGGGTGGAGGGTAGGGATGAGGAGATGAGGCGGTGCAAGTACCCTGAATGAGACAGTCGGCAATGATGACCTCTGCCACACCCTCTCAAAAGTGTACTTTGCTTCATTCAGGCATGAACGCACCTGAAGCGGCCTTCGAGGATGGTGGCAAAGATGGTCATTCCGCGCCCCTTCTTCTTCATGCAGTTGGCAAAGTCAGCAAGCTTCGGATGGCATGGCATGTCGGGAGGCAGGATGCCCCAGGGCTTGCAGAAGATGAGCGGGATGGGGTACCAGTTCTTGGGATGCACCTGACTCGCTGCAGGGGGGAGGGAGGGCGGGCAGGGAACGAGGGAAGGGAGAGAGCGCGGGGAGGACAGAAGGTGGATGGGTTAGGAGGGGGGAGAGTGCGGATGGAGAGGGTCAGTTCCAAGACACAATGTCCCAGAGCTTGCAGAAAATGAGCGGGATGGGGTACCAGTTCTCGGAATGCACCTGACTCGCTGTATGCGGGAGAGAGGGCGGAAGAAGAGTGTGGGGAGAGAAAGCGGGGAGACAGAGAAGGTGGGGAGAGAGTGCGGTTGGGGAGCAGGGATTGTTGTAGCTATTTTGCAGCTGTTTGCCTCTGGCTCTGCCCGTTTGGATGTACCCATGGCTGATATAATACAAAGACCCGTTTGAGAAGGTGGGGAGAGAGTGCGGGTGGGGGGGATCAGTCTCAAGACAAATTGCCTCGGGGGAAGCAACGGGGAAGGGGCATAAGTCAAGAAGACACCAGAGGATAAAAACATATAGATGGCCTTACAGTTGTCAGGGCCTTTCTACACCATAAATTCGTTGAGTGTATGCACAGCCTAGCCTAGACTCATACCTCCAAGGAACTTGAGGGAGCGCAGGGCGAGCTGCAGGTAGGCAGACTTGAAGCCGTCGCCCCAGTCGCCGGCCTTGCCCTTGAGGCTGACGTAGTAGTAGATGAGCACCGCTAGCAGCAGACACAGCAGCGTGAAGAACCACGATATCATGAACATGATCGCTGCAGGGGGGGGGGGCACCAGGGGGAAAAGGGAGGAGTGTTTTGAGATGTCTCAAAACATGATCGCTGCAGGGGGGGCACCAGGGGGAGAAGGGGGGGAAGGAGAGATCTTTGATGCTCTTGATGAATCGCATGGCTAGCAGCAGGCACAGTGGCGAGAACCACGATATCATGAGCGTGATCGCTGCAGGGGGGGGCACAGGGAAAGGGAGAGAGGGAGCATGCGAGGGGGGGATAGCGTAAGAGGTGCGGGAGGGGTTGGTGCAAGGGTGGAGACAAGGGAGAGGAATCAATTGTTTCATCACACGAGCAGGTGATGGGAGGGCAACAAGCGCACATGGGAAAGAGGATAGCAGCTGACAAGCGGGATTATCTTCCAGGAGGATTAGTGCCGCAAAAACGCAGAAACAAGAACAAAAAATACCCCTCTCCTCCCGCCCTCCCGAAACAATAGGTTCTTACTAACGCAAAGGACCGCTCCTACGAGGGCAGTCAGCGTGTGGTGCCACGTCCACCTCGGACGCCACGACGGCGCATCGAGCAGATCCAGCAGGAAGCAGGAGAGGTTCACCCCGAGATAGACTTTTGGGACGTCTCAAAACTTACTAACGCAAAGGATGGCGCCAGCGAGGGCGGTGAGCGTGTGGTGCCACTTCCACCTCGGGCGCCACGACGGCGCATCCAACAGATCCAGCAGGAAGCAGGAGAGGTTCACCCCGAGATAGCACAGCAGGAAGAACATGGTGATCACCGGCGTGACATAGTCCACATCTCCAATGCACACGAAGCCGGCGCAGATGAGTAGCGTGCAGAGCGTGGCGAGGTAGGGCTCCTGGTTGTCCTCTGTTTTGAACCAGTCCAGGATGGGGAGGATGTCGTCATTGGCGATGGCTGTGAGCAGACGCGGCGCGCTCATGAGGTTCTGCATGGCGGCGCCAAGCGTGGAGAGGATGATGCCGATGTACACCACTGCCGGGGACGGCCAGGCCAGGGTGGCCGTGAGCAGCCTGGAGGGGAATGGGAGGGAGGACGGGACGGGAAGGGTATATTTATCAGTGTGTCCGAAGTAGGGGCCGAGGGTTGAAATGATGATGCCGATGTACACCACTGCTGGGGACGGCCATGCCACCGTGGCTGTGAGCAGTCAGGCAGGGAATGGGAGGGAGGGCGGCAGGGAACGTATATTTAGGGGTGGTTGAAGTAGGCGCCAAGGGTGGAAAGGATGATGCCGATTTACGGAGTGGCAGTGAGCAGCCACGCAGGGGAGGAGGGGGGAAAGCGGAGAGGGGAGAGGAAGACGAGGGAGGAGGAGAAGAGGAGAGAAAAGGGAGACGAGATTATTGGTTGAGAGCACACGGACCCTTCTCTACTGACGCTCAATCATCCCCCCTTCCTTTCTCGTCTCTCCCTTCCTGGCAACGGGTTGGGTTGCTGAGCACAACTGCTTATGGTACACTGCCCAGAACCCTGAGGCCGTGTCCCTTCTCGTCGTCCCACCAATCAGTCACAACTCATGCTCTTTCTCTCTCCCACTTCCCCCACTCGCATCAACCACCCTTATCCCCTCTCCCCTCCCGTCCAGTCATTGAGCAGGAAGCTTACTGGATTTGCAATTCCAAACACGTAGGCAGCAAGACCGCGGAGCACCGTGGTGTTGTCATTGGCCCAGAGCACACACCCTTCCACTTCCTTCTTAACCTCACCTTCTGCTCCCCCCCACCCCCCTCCTCCCTCCTCCCTCACCGGTCAGTGAGCAGCAGGTCTCTGAGCGCCACAGAGCCAGACATGAAGAGAACAAACACGAAGAGCAGCGTGGTGGTGCCGATGGCCAATGCATCCCCGTCCAACCCCCTTCACACCCCTTCGGGACCCCTTCCACTCCCCACCCAACCCCCTTCCTTCCCTTGCCCCCCTCCTCCCTCGCCCCTCACCGGTCAGTGAGCAGCAGGTCCCTTAGCGCCACAGAGCCGAACATGAAGACTGCAAACACGTAGAGCAGCGTGGTGGTGCCGATGGCCCAGAGGGTGCCGATGGGGATGGACTTCTGTGTATCCTTGAGCGATGCCGACCGGTTGCTGCCCGCCATTATGCCCGTGACTGCAGGGTAGAAAAGGCCCAGCAGCTGACTGGCAGGGGGCAAAGGGTGGACGGGAGCGAGGGAGGGGAGGGAGGGAGGGAGGAGGAGGGACGTGAAAGGAAGAGAGATAGGGTAGGGATGTTTGGGAAAGAGAGATTGGGGGAAGGACGTGAGCTAACAAGAGAGAGAGATAAGAAAGGGACGTGAGGCAAAAATAGTGAAGACGGGCGTGAGAGAACGAGAGAGAGGATAGAAGTAGAGGGTGGGACGAGCGTGAAGGGAAGTGAGGGTGGAACGAACGTGGAGGGATGTGAGAAGACTGCAATGGCAGACAGCACGGAGGTTGAAAGGCAAAAATACGAGGCTCACGTGAAGCTCCAGTTGAAGTTGCCGTTCTCATCAGGGATGCCGTTGGCGTTGGTCTTCTGGTAATCCGACGCCCAATTGCTCGACAAAGTGCTGAGGCTCAGCCCAGTCAGCCCCTCTGTTACCAGCCGCTCGCACGCACACCCCATCACCACACACGTGACAACACACATGCCATGTGACAGCACAGGCGCAGACGTGTGAGAATCCAGAAACGCGCACACGCATGTGTGTGGACACATACAAACAGGCACATGCAGGATTAGCCATATATCATCCAGTACGTATCAGAAATAAAGAACGCACAGGGAAGCAGCATATCAAAACAGCGGAAGGGAGAGAGAGTCTGGCAGCCGAACCTGGGCTGCCACTACATGGAGCAACAACCATCCCAACGACGACGGAGAAGAGGAAGAGGATGGAGGGGATGGGGAAGAACGATTTTCGAGTTGACTAAAGACAAGGAGGCTGGCTACCGTACCTGGGCTGCCGCTGCGGGGAGCAGCGATGATTCCGGTGGAGATGCAGATGATGGCGAGGATGGGGGAGATGAGGAAGAGCGATTCTTGAGTCGACTCAAAACAAGGAGGCTAGCAGTCTTACTTGGGCTGCCGCTGCGGGGAGCAACGATGATTCCGATGAAGGTGCAGATGATGGCGAGGATGGGGGGGATGAGGAAGAGCGATTCTTGAGTCGACTCAAAACAAGGAGGCTAGCAGTCTTACCTGGGCTGCCGCTGCGGGGAGCAACGATGATTCCGATGAAGATGCAGATGATGGCGAGGATGGAGGGGATGAGGAAGAGCGGCCCCACGCGCACGACCACGCGCACGCCCCCCAGCACCACGATGCAGAGCGCGACGGTCACGATCACTCCGTACACCTGCATGTCCGCCGTTGACGCCAGCTCCACCGTCGAGTTGGTTGTTGAGTTCACGCCAAACGTCACCTGCTCCGCTGCGCCCCGTGAGGGATTACAGGGCATGAGGGAGGACAGAGTGCGCATGGGAAAGGACGAGAGATAAGGCCGCAGACACGTCTGTCCGGGATGATACAGGGCATACGGGAAACGAGATCTGATGGGATGGAGACGAGTGGGAAAAGAGACGGGTTGTTAGACGAGTGGGTGGGCAGGTGAAGGGGATGGGCGGGCCATAGGGAAACTCACGTGGAAAGAGGGACATCTGGGGGAGCCAATCCAGCAGCGTTTCGACCGCACCAAGAATGTATCTGAACACGCGGGGGAGGGCGAAGAGGGGAGGCGGTGCATTAGGTCGACGGGGGAGTATGGATGGTTGAGAGAGGCAGTTCGAAACGACGAGTCAGCCTTGCGGATACCTGATTCTAGAATGTACAGCTGTACGGAGGTCAAATAACAGTGGCTGATGGAGCGGCTGTGGGCAGCACTCACAGGGAGCCAGCGACTGCATTGCCGAGGAAGAAGCACAGCCCTATGCTCACTCCCACCTCAGGCCCTAGCGCTCGCCCTATCAGGTAGTAAGGGCCGCCTCCCTGCAGCACGCAACGTGCAAAGTATTAAGACTCAGAAAGGGATCTCCAATCCTCATCGGAACCTAGATGCCAGCACCAGGAACCGACTGAGCGGACGTGAGACAGCAGAGCGCGCAGGTTTTATTCTCTATACCCCTCCCCATCAGAACTGTTCCAAGTGCTTCCGAATTCTTGGACTAATCTAGACTAAGACATTTTCCGCATGATCCGTGATCGCGCTGGTGTGATCTGTGTGTGGTGACCCGCAACTCCCAGGATCCGCAAAACACACTTGTGAAGGGGACGGTGCTCACCTTCATGGCGCCGTTGGTGGCAATGGCAGAGAGGGATAAGCCCGTGAGGACTGTGCTGAGGCACGTCAGCGCAACCAGCAGCAGGCTCTGCCCGATACCCGCAATACCCACAATCCTGGCAATATCCACGCGCGATGACGACGCAAATACGGGTGAGAGAAGATGTATAGCGTGAGGCAATAAGAGAATGACGGTTAGATGAATGCTGGTATATGAAGCGAGCGACATGATAGTTGATATTGTGGCACTTGCAGGGACAACGGGAACGGCAATAGGCGATTCGCCGTACGTACCAGGAAAGACGAATATAGAAGATGATTCCGAGAATGTTTTGAACGCACGGGATGTACACGCCGGTCAGGGTACCCAGCTTCGCTACTTTCATGCTCTGCACAAGACCAGACGCAATCCAGTGCGTTGAGCCACATTACTTTCCAGAAGAGGTTATATAATGTATGTGACTCGTGTCTACGCAAAGCCGATGTGATTCGAAAGTTTTCAGCCCATGATTGAGTTTCGACGTACGAGTGTGGAATGGACGTACCCTGTCGGAACCTCGGTGAACGTGCATCTCATCGCCGTCACGAGGACTCATGGGATGCTCACCAGCCATCCTGCACGTGCCGGTCAAAAGGATTAGCCAAGATTTGATCGCACATTCACATGTTAATGGAGAGTGAGACAGGAATGAGGCTGGACGAATTGGGGTGTGGTTGCTGTACCTTCTCACGCCGACAGCATCGACCAGAGGGTCACTCTCAAAAAGCTCGAGCTTGGAGTCTCTCTCCCTCACGGCGCTGACAGGTGCAGGTTCATCCTCTCGGTGTCCATCTTCCATTGATAAGCTGAAAAGGATAAATCGAGAATGTGAAGAAAGTAGATAGCAAGGATCATCATAAACTAAAGCCAATTCGATCTAGAAATGACAGGAATTGGCCTTTCCGATCGCGTCAATCAGCGACTATCTGAACTGCGTTGTAATTAGAAATGAAACGAATGTACTGCACTATGAGTAAAATGTCGACTATCTTCCACGTCAGCACTTACTCCTCGTCACCATGAAGATCAACGGCGGACATCTCGAGGACCTGTTGCTGACCATCTGTGCCTCTCCCGGATCCACCTCTTTCCGGCTCCATTCCGACCTACGCTAGTCGAGTAGATAGCGTCTACAATAATCTAGCCCACCGAGATTTCAGAAAACGGGAAGTGTAATCTAAACCGCAGACATGTAAGAACAAGGTTCCACGAACATGGAACCAAGGAAACGCGGATCCAGCTGGGAAACTAGTGAAGTAGGTATTGTATGATAGGCAAACTTCTAGGCTGGCTTCCTGAAAGCTGAATCTTGCAAGACAGCAGCAGCATCTCAGAAAGCAGGAACTCATGAAGTCATTGTCAGCCAAGCATCACCGAACAGGTCCGGTCCTGTAGGGTTGCCAATGTCCCATCAGAAAGGCTTGGATCTGGGCAGTTGCGAAAAGCCCGAAAGCTCAGGGACTGTCCACCTAACCAACAGATTCAAAGCTGAAGCCTTGCCTCGGAATCGATTGTCCCCGCTTTGACATCGATTTCACCGCATGAGACCCCTGAAAATCAGGCCTGGTGGCGAGCCTGCGAACCAGAAGGCCTGCCACATTAGAGTTTCCCGCCTGATACGCAGTCATCTGGTTCGTCCAGAATATCGGTCTCTTTCTTAGTCAATCTGAGCCGTCAATTCCCCTGACAAGTCACATCTTTGTCACCCCGACTGATCATTTGTGACACGGAGATTGGGTGCCTGATTCGCTGCTTGTCATTTTATAGCAATGAATAAGCGGAATCCGAAATGTATTCTCAATCACTGTTTCCTACGAGATCTCCAGAGAAACGAATCACTCTGTAAAGAGTAGTGAACTGATGCCCCGACACGCTTGTTTTCAGGCCCGTCGCATGCGGTCCTATTGGTTCCTTCACGGTCTAACACGGTTCTCCTACATTAATGCTTTCGAACAGAACATGACGCACAAAAGCATGACACCTAACTTCATACTCCTCGGCGCTCCGCACAGCGCATCTCTCCGTTCCCTGCATTCCTTCTCAAGTAATCGACTTCTGCGCTCTTTACCGTTTCTGTTGCTACCACGGTGGTCCCACCCGCAGTGAAACACCTACTGCCTGGGCGAGTTGGAAACTCCTCGTCACGATGCTTCATCAGAAGCAGTTCGTTCGCAAGACGCGCAAAGGAGCCATACAGCGGGTGCGAAGTGGATGCGTTTCTAGCTTAACGTTGTTAGTCGCTTTGAATCTCCAGAGCCGGCGTAGGGTATTACCAGGATTTGTGTTATGAGCTCCGTAATCTGCATTCTGGCATTGCTTGCAAGAGATTAGAAACGTTCCTGCAGAAATGTATTCTCAATAGCGGAGCAACGACTCGTTTTGTTCGGAGCGAGTGATTTTTTAGGTAGATGAGATGGAACCGGTTTTAGAGTCAAGGATTTTGGATTTAAGGGTTTCAGGGTACGAGGTTCAGGGTTTGTGTGGAAGCGAAAGCATCGCGCTTCCGCGCGAGAATTTTCAAGCACTTATCAGTGGACTCAAACATGAGTTTGAAATGATTACTTGAGATCCACAGGTGCACATCTGACTAATCAACCCTAAATTGTTGAATTTGTATCCCTCCACTTCATTACTCCACCCTTTCCTGCCTGAATCGCCGGCGACGTCAGGTGGTGCGGGAGCACTACCTGCGCGACGACATTCCCTGTGGCGCGCTGCCCTGCGCCAAGGCGCCCGCCACCGCCTGCGACAAAGAATCCGCTCGCCTCTCGCCTAATAACGAAACCATCCTCGTTATAGACACCAACGTCGCCCTGCACCAGGTGAGTTCTGTACCATGCAGGCAGTGCGGCCGGGATTACATTTTATCTGGACCCTGCTGGAACACCACTCCCATACCCTATCCGTGCCATCCCTGCCATCCCCATATCCTCATAGCCTTATAACACCATATCCCCACCTTCATCTCCATAACCACAAAACCTCATAACTCCATATCCCCATAACCACATAACCCATGACCCCCTAACCCTCCCCGTATCTCCATATCCCCACAACCGCCATATCCCGTTCCCCGTCACCATCCATTGCTCGCAGATCGACCTGTTGGAGAATGCAGCGATCAGCAACGTGGTGGTGGAAGTAGTGAAGTTGGTGCCATATCCCCTCATCCCATACCCACATGAACCCCTAACGCCATGTCCCCATCCCACCCACTGCACCACGCGTGCCTCCCTGATTGACCTGTTTGAGAACGTGGCGATCAGCAACGTGGTGGAGCTGTCGGTGTTGCTGGAGGAGGCGAACGTTTTTCACAGCCCCATTTCACGGGCACTTCACTTCTCCCCTCGCGATCCCCCAATTCAACCCCTATCGCCTTCCTCACCACGCATGCCTTTCAGATCGATCTGTTGGAGAATGCAGCGATCAGCAACGTGGTGGTGCTGTCGGTGGTACTGGAGGAGGTGAAGAGTCGCAACGTGGCGGTGTATGGGCGCCTCAGGGCGCTCGTGGCGGAGGAATCACGCCGCTTCTTTGTCTTTTCTAACGAGCACCACAAGTGAGTGTATGTTTGACCAAGTCGCAGCGTGGCGGCGGTGTACGGCCGGCTCAGGGCGCTTGTAGGGGCGCTCGTAGCAGAGGAGTCCCACCCGCCGCTTCTTCGTATTCCCCAATGAGCACCACAAGTGAGTGAGCGCTTGCGGTCCTGTTGCAAGGCGAGTCAGAAGGACAGTAGCAGTGTGGCGGTCATGGCATGGTCTTCTGCAATGAACACCACAGGTGAATGAGTGGCGGCGCATCACGCAAGTATCTTACCCCACCCTTTCCATCCCCCCCCATTTGTCGTGCTTTGTTCCCTTTGATTCTCTGAATGCTCCTTCTTGAATCTCCTTGCCCACTCTGTGCTCCTCTCTTTCCTCCTCCCTTCCCTCTTCCCCCTACCCGTCCCCCCTCCCCGCGTACCTTCTCCCCTCCCCATGTGCATGGGCGCACAATCAATCAGGGACACGTACATCAAGGCGGAGCCAGGGGAGAGTCCCAACGACAGGAATGACCGAGGTCAGAAGGCCGCGATTTCCTCGCCTTCCCCTCTTGCTTTTCTCCTTTTGAGACATCTCAGAAGACGTCTCAAGAGACGTCTCAAAAGTTGCTTTTCTCCCTTCATCATTCGCGATTCACCCTCTCTCCCCTCGCTCTCCCATCATCTCACACACCCTGTCTTACCCCCCCCCCTTACCCCCTCTCCACCTCACTTACTTCTCGTCCTTTCTTTCCTCCCACAAAACCCTGCCTCTCTCTCACCTCTCCGATTGCAGCCATTCGGGTGGCAGCGCAGTGGTACCAGCAGCATCTGGGCGGCAAAGTGCCGGTCGTGCTCATAACAGACGACAAAGCCAACCTGGCAAAGGCGGTGGCGGGCGGCACAAAAGCCATGAGAGTGCGAGAGTATGTGGCGTCGCTAGGGAGTGTAGAGCTCATGGATCTGGTTGTTAGTGCGGGGGATGGGGAGGAGGCGGAAGGAGGGGAGGGAGGGGAGGGGGATAAGGCGGCGAGGGAGGAGGAGAATCGGGGGCTTCGGACGAACGTGTCTCGCAGCAAGAGGAAGAGAATCTACTCTGATGTGAGTGGTGGGGTGACGGCTATGGAGGATGGATAGCATGTCATGTGGTGCGACGTGGTTGGATGTGGTGTGATGGTGTGGTGGTGTGGTGCGGTGTGATGTGGTGTAATGTGGTGTGCCACCCCCAGGGCAAGCTGAGGCTGAGCGGCTGCAACAGTACTGTCAACCACTCCTTTCCCCTGATGTTCCCCCCTGTCCTTTCACCCAGCACAAGCCCATGTCAGCCATAACAGTGGGGTTGCAGCGGGGCCTGTACCACCAGGGCAAGCTACAAGTGAGCCGCCACAACTGCCTCGACTCCTCACCTCAACGCCGTTTCCCTGACTCCTCTACCCCCGCCCATCTCACCAGCACAAGCCCATGTCAGCCATAACAGCGGGGCTGCAGCGCGGGCTGTACCATCAGGGCAAGCTGCGCGTGAGCCGCTACAACTGCTTCGAGGCGTTTGTGGGATCCGAGTCGCTGGGGGACGAGATCCTCGTTATAGGCAGATGCGATATGAACCGCGCCGTGGACGGGGATGTGGTGGCGGTGGAGCTGCTGCCGCGGGATCAGTGGAAGGAGCCGACGAGTGGGGCGCTGAGGGAGAGGGAGGATGATCATGACGATGCTGCTGGTGAGTCTGCTTTTCCTCAGAGACGCCCCAAGAAAGTGTGGATGGTGATGTGGTGGCGGTGGAGCTGCTACCGAGGGATCAGTGGAAGGAACCGACCAGTGGGGCGCTGAGGGAGAGAGAAGACGACCATGATGATGCTGCTGGTGAGTGGCGGGCAAGGGAGAAAAGGAGGGTGGGTTGGGTGGATTTTTAGGCGACTCAAAAAGGTGGAGCTGCTGCTGCGGGAGCAGTGGAAGGAACTCACCAGTGGCGCACTGAGGGAGCGAGAAGATGATCACGATGAAGCTGCTGGTGAGTCTATTTCTCATTAGAGGCGCCTAAAGAAAGTGTGGATGGTGATGTGGTGGCGGTGGATCTGCTGCCGCGGGAGCAGTGGAGGGATCCGACTAGCGGGGCGCTGAGGGAGAGAGAGGACGACCATGACGCTGTTGACGAGGAGGTGACTTTTGAGTCGACTCAACCCCTTGGATGGGGCTCTTGTAAACTTAGTTTCTCGAATGCACTCGTCTTCAGCTGTCGCACTTGTGTGTAAGTGTTTCTAGCCCGCAGAAGGCAAACAAACCCGACGTTCTACCCTTTCTCCCTTGTCATTCTCCAGCTTTCCTCAGTGCCTCCCTCCTCGCCCTTCCGCCTTTTCCCTCCCGCTCCTCTTTGCCCTCCCCCATACCCATTCCTCTCGTGTATCGTTACAGCGGAGGAGCACGGCGAGGAGGACTCAGTGGGTCTGCCCCCCGCCTCGGCAGACGATGCACCTTCCACTCTCTCCTCTGCTGCTGCCGCGCTCTCCCTGGATAAGGAGGGGGACAGCAAGGAGGAGGGGGGTGGCGGAGGAGGGGGGAAGGACGGGGGAGGGGGAGAGGGGGGAAAGGGGCCATCTGAGCTGGCAAGGCCAACGGGGCGGGTGGTGGGGATAATCAAACGCAACTGGCGAACGTGAGTTGATGGGGAGAGTCGTTTTTGTAGCAAGGAGTGGCTCGTCATCCCGTATTCTTTTCATGCCACCAGTTCGTCATCCCGTATTCTTTTCATGCCACCAGTTCGTCATCCCGTATTCTTTTCATGCCACCAGTTCGTCATCCCGTATTCTTTTCATGCCACCAGTTCGTCATCCCGTATTCTTTTCATGCCACCAGTTCGTCATCCCGTATTCTTTTCATGCCACCAGTTCGTCATCCCGTATTCTTTTCATGCCACCAGTTCGTCATCCCGTATTCTTTTCATGCCACCAGTTCGTCATCCCGTATTCTTTTCATGCCACCAGTTCGTCATCCCGTATTCTTTTCATGCCACCAGTTCGTCATCCCGTATTCTTTTCATGCCACCAGTTCGTCATCCCGTATTCTTTTCATGCCACCAGTTCGTCATCCCGTATTCTTTTCATGCCACCAGTTCGTCATCCCGTATTCTTTTCATGCCACCAGTTCGTTCGTCATCCCGTATTCTTTTCATGCCACCAGGTCGTCGTCCCGTATTCTTTTCATGCCACCAGTTCGTCATCCCGTATTCTTTTCATGCCACCAGTTCGTCATCCCGTATTCTTTTCATGCCACCAGTTCGTCATCCCGTATTCTTTTCATGCCACCAGTTCGTCATCCCGTATTCTTTTCATGCCACCAGCTCGTCATCCCGTATTCTTTTCATGCCACCAGTTCGTCATCCCGTATTCTTTTCATGCCACCAGTTCGTCATCCCGTATTCTTTTCATGCCACCAGTTCGTCATCCCGTATTCTTTTCATGCCACCAGTTCGTCATCCCGTATTCTTTTCATGCCACCAGTTCGTCATCCCGTATTCTTTTCATGCCACCAGTTCGTCATCCCGTATTCTTTTCATGCCACCAGTTCGTCATCCCGTATTCTTTTCATGCCACCAGTTCGTCATCCCGTATTCTTTTCATGCCACCAGGTCGTCGTCCCGTATTCTTTTCATGCCACCAGTTCGTCATCCCGTATTCTTTTCATGCCACCAGTTCGTCATCCCGTATTCTTTTCATGCCACCAGTTCGTCATCCCGTATTCTTTTCATGCCACCAGTTCGTCATCCCGTATTCTTTTCATGCCACCAGTTCGTCATCCCGTATTCTTTTCATGCCACCAGTTCGTCATCCCGTATTCTTTTCATGCCACCAGTTCGTCATCCCGTATTCTTTTCATGCCACCAGTTCGTCATCCCGTATTCTTTTCATGCCACCAGTTCGTTCGTCATCCCGTATTCTTTTCATGCCACCAGGTCGTCGTCCCGTATTCTTTTCATGCCACCAGTTCGTCATCCCGTATTCTTTTCATGCCACCAGTTCGTCATCCCGTATTCTTTTCATGCCACCAGTTCGTCATCCCGTATTCTTTTCATGCCACCAGTTCGTCATCCCGTATTCTTTTCATGCCACCAGTTCGTCATCCCGTATTCTTTTCATGCCACCAGTTCGTCATCCCGTATTCTTTTCATGCCACCAGTTCGTCATCCCGTATTCTTTTCATGCCACCAGTTCGTCATCCCGTATTCTTTTCATGCCACCAGTTCGTCATCCCGTATTCTTTTCATGCCACCAGTTCGTCATCCCGTATTCTTTTCATGCCACCAGTTCGTCATCCCGTATTCTTTTCATGCCACCAGTTCGTCATCCCGTATTCTTTTCATGCCACCAGTTCGTCATCCCGTATTCTTTTCATGCCACCAGGTCGTCGTCCCGTATTCTTTTCATGCCACCAGTTCGTCATCCCGTATTCTTTTCATGCCACCAGTTCGTCATCCCGTATTCTTTTCATGCCACCAGTTCGTCATCCCGTATTCTTTTCATGCCACCAGTTCGTCATCCCGTATTCTTTTCATGCCACCAGTTCGTCATCCCGTATTCTTTTCATGCCACCAGTTCGTCATCCCGTATTCTTTTCATGCCACCAGTTCGTCATCCCGTATTCTTTTCATGCCACCAGTTCGTCATCCCGTATTCTTTTCATGCCACCAGTTCGTCATCCCGTATTCTTTTCATGCCACCAGTTCGTCATCCCGTATTCTTTTCATGCCACCAGTTCGTCATCCCGTATTCTTTTCATGCCACCAGTTCGTCATCCCGTATTCTTTTCATGCCACCAGTTCGTTCGTCATCCCGTATTCTTTTCATGCCACCAGGTCGTCGTCCCGTATTCTTTTCATGCCACCAGTTCGTCATCCCGTATTCTTTTCATGCCACCAGTTCGTCATCCCGTATTCTTTTCATGCCACCAGTTCGTCATCCCGTATTCTTTTCATGCCACCAGTTCGTCATCCCGTATTCTTTTCATGCCACCAGTTCGTCATCCCGTATTCTTTTCATGCCACCAGTTCGTCATCCCGTATTCTTTTCATGCCACCAGTTCGTCATCCCGTATTCTTTTCATGCCACCAGTTCGTCATCCCGTATTCTTTTCATGCCACCAGTTCGTCATCCCGTATTCTTTTCATGCCACCAGTTCGTCATCCCGTATTCTTTTCATGCCACCAGTTCGTCATCCCGTATTCTTTTCATGCCACCAGTTCGTCATCCCGTATTCTTTTCATGCCACCAGTTCGTCATCCCGTATTCTTTTCATGCCACCAGTTCGTCATCCCGTATTCTTTTCATGCCACCAGTTCATCATCCCGTATTCTTTTCATGCCACCAGTTCGTCATCCCGTATTCTTTTCATGCCACCAGTTCGTCATCCCGTATTCTTTTCATGCCACCAGTTCGTCATCCCGTATTCTTTTCATGCCACCAGTTCGTCATCCCGTATTCTTTTCATGCCACCAGTTCGTCATCCCGTATTCTTTTCATGCCACCAGTTCGTCATCCCGTATTCTTTTCATGCCACCAGTTCGTCATCCCGTATTCTTTTCATGCCACCAGTTCGTCATCCCGTATTCTTTTCATGCCACCAGTTCGTCATCCCGTATTCTTTTCATGCCACCAGTTCGTCATCCCGTATTCTTTTCATGCCACCAGTTCATCATCCCGTATTCTTTTCATGCCACCAGTTCGTCATCCCGTATTCTTTTCATGCCACCAGTTCGTCATCCCGTATTCTTTTCATGCCACCAGTTCGTCATCCCGTATTCTTTTCATGCCACCAGTTCGTCATCCCGTATTCTTTTCATGCCACCAGTTCGTCATCCCGTATTCTTTTCATGCCACCAGTTCGTCATTCCATTGCTTCAACCAACCCGTTCTCCCTCCTCTAAATGATGTAGCCCCCCTGCTCCCTGATCCTCGTGACCCTCTTCTCTCAAGCGGGCACCTCTGCTATCTGCTAGCTGCTGCTGATCCGCGTGCATGCCATGCCATCTTCACGGCAGCAAGGGCGTTGGTAGGTGCTGTCTTTGTTGCTTTGCTGCCGACCGCAGTGTGCCTTCAAGCTCAATTCTCACTCCGCTTTGCCGTTCCCCCCCTGCTTATTTCCATCTTCTTTTCGCCAGCTATGCCGGTTCCCTCGCCCCCATGCGCACGCCCCCGGCATCAGCAGGGGCGTTGGTGCGCGCCCTCTTCGTCGCTGCCGACCGCAGGGTGCCGCGCATCCGTGTGGAGACAAGGCAGGCCGCCCAGCTGATGGGCAAGCGAATCCTGGTGGCCATTGACAGCTGGCAGCCCGACAGCGCGTTCCCCTCGGGGCACTACGTGAAGACGCTGGGGGATATTGGCGACAGGGAGACAGAGAGCGAGGTGAGAGAGGGGTTGGCTGGCAGTAAGGGATGGGGGGAGCATGGTGAGAATGGGTGGGAAGGGGTGGGATGGGCTGGGAAGGGGGCTGGCAGCCCGACAGTGCGATCCGGCAGGGGCACTACGTGAAGACGCTGGGATATATTGGCGACAGGGAGACAGAGAGCGAGGTGAGACAGAGAGTGGTGGGGGAGACACTGACCCGTGCCTCTCTTGAAGCATGTGCCACTTCAAGCCCACACTCCACAACCCTCCCCAATCGTTGGCTGTGCTTTTGCTCCCCCCCTCTTTCACCTCCCCGTGCCCCCCCCGCCTCACCTTCTCCCCACCCACAGCTGCTCCTAATGGAAAACGACATTGATGCGCGCCCCTTCTCGCAGCAAGTGCTCGCGTGCCTGCCGCCGCTCCCCTGGTCCGTGTCTCCTGCAGACGTCACAGACCCGCGCACCAAGAGGGAGGACCTGCGCCACGTGCGTGTGTTCAGTGTGGACCCCATCGGGTGCCGGGATATCGACGACGCGCTGCACTGCGTGCCGCTCCCCAATGGCAACTTCGACGTCGGCGTTCGTGAGTGCTGGTTCTGGGCTCGGTGTGAAAGGAAGAGCCTAGGTCTTCAGTACTTGTCTTGGTGGGGAATTTGTGTTCAGTGTGGACCCCATCGGGTGCCGGGATATCAACGATGCGCTGCACTGCATGCCTCTCCCCAGTGGCAACTTCGATGTTGGCATTCGTAAGTGCTGCTGGCCTTGCTGTGGGTGGAAACACAGAAACTATGCGTGTCCAATTTCCCTTTTGAGGCGCCTCAAAAGAGCTATGTGTGTCCAGTTTTCCCTCTTGCATGCTGCCGGCTTTGGCCCACACACACCACCAGACATAACAGACGAGACTCACTTTTGTGCTGTCGGCACGGGTACTTGAGTCAACTCAAAACCACCGTCTCACTTCAACCCCATCTGTCCCCTATCCGACCGTCCCCACTACAGACATAGCAGATGTGACCAACTTTGTGCTGCCGGGTACGCCACTAGACGTGGAGGCATCCCAGCGAGGCATGTTGAGTGTCCCAGCCATTCTCCTGTTGGATTCATCTGTCTCTGCCCCCATCCGTCCTGCCCATCTGTGCAGACATAGCAGACGTGACTAACCTTGTGCCGCCCGGCACGCCTCACCGCATCATGTTGCCCCAGCTGCACCCTCCCTTCAACCCCATCTGTCCCGCCTGCCCACCTGTGCAGACATAGCGGATGTGACCAACTTTGTTCTACCGGGCACGCCACTGGACGTGGAGGCATCGCAGCGCGGCACATCTGTGTATCTCGTGGAGCGCCGCATTGACATGCTGCCCAAGCCCTTGACTGAAGGTATGTAGGACAAAATCTGCAGAAGCGGCTCACAATAGGTGGAACGGTGAGAAGGAGGCTGATTGGGAATGTGCATGGTCTCGCAGCGAGGCACGTCCGTGTACCTGGTGGAGCGCCGCATAGACATGCTGCCCAAGCCCTTGACTGAAGGTGGGAAAGTGAGGGTCAGGACGAGGGTAAAGAGGAACGATATGATGATGGTGGGACGATATGATGATGGTGGGACGATATGATGATGGTGGGACGATATGATGATGGTGGGACGATATGATGATGGTGGGACGATATGATGATGGTGGGACCGGTCATATCGTTCCTCTTTAGGGACGAACGGTCTGCGTATTGATCTCGTCGCATTCTGCACACGGCATTCCCATCGTCAACCGTTCATGCATGCATGCACCAAGCTAACCTGTTTCTTACCTCCTTATGCCTTTTGGCCAGATTGTTCCACTCTTTACTACTTCTAACTCACACCCTCCCTCCCACTCTGCCTCACCTTGCCTCACGCCAACCTCACCTCTCCTCACCAGTCGCCTCCCCTCGCCAGACACCTGCTCCCTACGTGGCGGTGTGGAGCGACTTCCCAACGTCTCCTGCTCCTTACCCTGCTCATGCCTTTTGGTCAAACCTTCTCACACCTGTCTCACCTTCTCACACCTGTCTCACCTTCTCACACCTGTCTCACCTTCTCACACCTGTCTCACCTTCTCACACCTGTCTCACCTTCTCACACCTGTCTCACCTTGTCCTACTCTTCTCTCACCCCTCCTACTTTGCCCCACCTCGCCTCACCTCACCTTCCACCCCTCGCCTCAACCCCCCATACAGACATCTGCTCCCTACGTGGCGGTGTGGAGCGACTCGCCTTCTCCTGTATTTGGGTCAGTGCTGCCGCTGCTGCTCGTGCGCTGTTAGTGCTGCCGTTGGTGCTGCTGTTGGTTCTGCTGTAGCTGCTGCCGCTCTAGTGGTGCTGGCTGCTTGCTCTCTCCTAACGCATTCGCGTCCAGGATACGCATGTATGCACATCCCACATCACATCCCATACCCACATGCCATGCCACATCCGACCAGGAGATGACTTGTGAAGCAGAGATCGTATCGGTGCGATTCACCAAGAGTGTTATCAAATCTGCTGCTGCGCTGTCCTATGTGGAGGCACAGGCTCGCATGGATGATGAGTGAGTGTGAAGGATGATAAGGCATGCATGCATGCATGGATGGATGGATGATGAGTGAGTGTGAAGGATGATAAGGCATGCATGCATGCATGGATGGATGGATGATGAGTGAGTGTGAAGGATGATAAGGCATGCATGCACGCATGGATGGATGGATGATGAGTGAGTGTGAAGGATGATAAGGCATGCATGCACGCATGGATGGATGGATGATGAGTGAGTGTGAAGGATGGAGTGTCAGAGTGTACGACCTGTTAGGGATGTATGGATAGCAGCCTGGCTGGTAGTCACAGATGGCTTGTGAGTATGGCCATGCATGGGGTGTTCTTTGCATGAGTAGTCCCTGAGTATTAGCGCTGTGGTGGCATGTGTATGTATGATGATAGTTGCCTGCCATGCTCCCATCTCCTCGCCCCCCTGTTGCATCCCATGTGCCTGAATGCTTTACAGTGAATTACCACCCCCCTTTTTGCATCCAATCCCAGCTGGCATGCTGCCTCCCTCTTCTTCTAACGCCTTCCTATCCCCTTCCAACCCTCTAGCGAGCCAGCTAGCGAGCCTCGCCCCCCTGTTGCATCCCATGTGCCTGAATGCTTTACAGTGAATTACCACCCCCCTTTTGGATCCAGGTCGAAACTTTATACGTATGCCTCCCTCTTCTAACGCCTTCCTATCCCCTTCCAACCCTCTCCCCACCCTCTGCTGACGTCACCATGGCATCAGGCGCATGCATGATGACCTCACAAGGGACCTTCGCAACCTCAACCGCCTTGCCAAGGTGTGATGCCATGTCATGCTATAGCATTCCATGCCACACGACGCCATAGCATAGCATAGTTTAGCATACCCTACCATGCCATACCATACCATACCATACCACAATACTCCACACCACTGCAGACCACACCACACCATAACAAACCACACCATACCATACCCACACCACACCATACCCACTCACCCCCATCCCCCCGTGCCCACGCCAGGTGATGAGGCAGCGGCGCATAGACAGGGGAGCACTCACACTGGCATCACCGGAAGTCAAGTTTGAGATTGACACCGAGACACACGACCCCCTCGACGTTGGTACGACCCTTCTTGCCCCTCTGCATGCCATTCCTCGCAATAGTCGCATCCACACGCCCGTTTCCCCAGTCTCCCACCCCCTGCCGTCGCCACCCTTCCCTGCATCTGTCATTGCACTCTTTCCCCCTTTCTTCCCTCTCACTGTCCTTTTAGGGCATGTACCTGGTGCGAGAGGCCAACCACATAGAGGAGTTGATGCTGCCATGCTATCAGGCCCCCGCCCCTAATCTTCCTCTCTGCCTCTCTCTGCCACTCACTCGTCCCCCCATTCCCCTCCCCTCCTCCAGGCATGTACCTGGTGCGGGAGGCCAATCACATGATAGAGGAGTTCATGCTGGCAGCCAATGTGTCCGTAGCTGACAAGATCCTCCAGCACTTCGCCTCCTGCTCGCTGCTCAGGTAATTCTTCAGGGGGCTCTCAGGTGAAATCTTAGGTGAATTTCCCACACAGGCAGCACAGCACCACACCCCTTCGCCCAACATGTTAGAGCTGCTGCTGGTTCTAAGTTGACTTTTGAAACGCACCATTGGGATTGTCATGGGTCGTGACCATACCACTTCCTCTTCCACCCACCGAACCCTTGCCATCCACGACAGGCGACACCCCACCCCATCGCCCAACATGTTTGAGCCGCTGCTGCGCACAGCAGAGGCGGTGGGGATTGCAGTTGACACCTCCTCCTCCAAGAATCTTGCTGACTCGCTTGACCGCGCTGTGGTGAGCTGCTTGACTCGCTTGACCGCTCTGTGGTGAGCTGCTTGACTCGCTTGACCGCTCTGTGGTGAGCTGCTTGACTCGCTTGACCGCTCTGTGGTGAGCTGCTTGACTCGCTTGACCGCTCTGTGGTGAGCTGCTTGACTCGCTTGACCGCTCTGTGGTGAGCTGCTTGACTCGCTTGACCGCTCTGTGGTGAGCTGCTTGACTCGCTTGACCGCTCTGTGGTGAGCTGCTTGACTCGCTTGACCGCTCTGTGGTGAGCTGCTTGACTCGCTTGACCGCTCTGTGGTGAGCTGCTTGACTCGCTTGACCACTCTGTGGTGAGCTGCTTGACTCGCTTGACTGCTCTGTGGTGAGCTGCTTGATTCGCTTGACCGCTCTGTGGTGAGCTGCTTGACTCGCTTGACCGCGCTGTGGTGAGCTGCTTGACTCGCTTGACCGCTCTGTGGTGAGCTGCTTGACTCGCTTGACCGCTCTGTGGTGAGCTGCTTGACTCGCTTGACTGCTCTGTGGTGAGCTGCTTGACTCGCTTGACCGCTCTGTCTGTGGTGAGCTGCTTGACTCGCTTGACCGCTCTGTGGTGAGCTGCTTGACTCGCTTGACCGCTCTGTGGTGAGCTGCTTGACTCGCTTGACCGCGCTGTGGTGAGCTGCTTGACTCGTTTGACCGCTCTGTGGTGAGCTGCTTGACTCGCTTGACCGCTCTGTGGTGAGCTGCTTGACTCGCTTGACCATGCAGCTGAATTGCTTGTAATGAGAAATCCCGATCCCCCTGTCGTCATTGCTACTCTCATCATTGCCCTCTCTGCACCGTTCACCTTTTCCTCTCAATTCTCGAACCTCACTTTCTCTACAGGGACTTATGTCGAGCCGTCTCAAAAGTCTTCTCCCTCTCTCGACCGGTCTGTGTGCTCCTCTCTCCCTTACTTTAACAAGCTCATCCGCATCCTCACCACTCGCCCCGCTGTGACCTGTGTGGAGCCGTTTCAACCAACCAGCTCTCAACCACTCTTCTCCTCCTCTTCATCCCGTTGTGTGCTCCTCTCTCCCCACAGGGCCCTGACCCCTACTTTAACAAGCTTATCCGAATCCTCACCACTCGCTGCATGACTCAGGTGGGAGGTGACAGAGATATTTGGTGAAGGGACATGAAAGGATGCAAGGTATGCACCTCTGTGTTCTCGCAGGGCCCTGGCCCCTGTTTCAACAATCTCACCCGCATCCTCACCACTCGCTGCATGACTCAGGTGCGAGCTCACTAGGATGTGCAGTGAAGGGACAAGCATGTATGCCATGAGAAAGAAAATGTGCTACACACGTGCATGACTCAGGTAAAAGCCAACACTCATGCTTGATAATACCATAGGTGCGCACATGGGGCTAGCTAGGGTGCATGCAGAGCAGATTGCTGAAGACCCTTCCAACCTATGTTTTTTGAGAATTCTCAAAAAACATACGCTGAGAATTCTCAAAAAACATACGCTAGCTAGGGTGCAGAGCAGATTGCTGAAGACCCTTCCAACCTTTTCATGTTCCCCCTTTTGATAATCGACTTACTTCTCCTCCCTCCAGCCTTTCCATGTTCCCCCTTTCCCCATGCTTCCCCAGGCCGTGTATTGCCCCAGCGGTCAGCTGGCGCCTGCAGAGTACCACCACTGCAGCCTCGCAGCCCATATTAGTGCCCCCGCTCTCTCACTTTCACACACACAGCCCACCCCTCCCCCATCCGTGTCTTTGCCCCTTAACCCCCCCCAACCCACCATGCCCCCATGCTTCCCCAGGCGGTGTATTTTCCCAGCGGCCAGCTGGCCCCTGCAGAGTACCACCACTACGGGCTGGCAGCCCCCATCTATACCCACTTCACTTCCCCCATCCGTCGCTACGCTGGTGAGACACTTGCCGCCTCCCCTTTGAGCGTTAGAGAAAGTGCCCTCCAAAGTGCCACCACCACTTCGAGCTGGCAGGTCCCATATGCACTCACTTCACCTCTTCCTTCCACTGCTACGCTGGTGAGGCAAGTGGTGCCACGTGTCCTTTCCACGTGACAAAAGTGTTGTTTTGAGACGTCTCAAAACAACACTTTTGTTACGCTGGTGTGGCAAGTGGCGCCACGTGTCCTTTCCTCTCCCCTAACTTCACCTCTCTTACCTTCATCTCCCTTCCACATTTCTCCCCTGCTATCGTCGGATCTCCACTGCTCTTGCCACCTCTCCCTCCCCCTCCTCTCGATCCTCCCCGCTCCTCTCACCTGTATGGGGCAAATCAACCTTCCACTTTCGCCCTGTGCCCACCCTCTTGAATGTGCCAACGCCCATGCAGGCAGACGTGGTGGTACATCGCCTGCATCGCAGCCATCGGATTGACATTGCTGCCATTTAAGGCGCCTCAAAATCTCCCCGTCCTCTGCCGCCCCTCTCCCCTCTGACTGTGAATTCATCCATGCCCAACCAGACGTGGTGGTGCATCGCCTGCTGGCTGCAGCCATAGGGTTGACACCGCTGCCGGATCAGACCAAGGATAAGACTGCACTCACCGCCCTCACTGACAGTAAGCACCGCAGGAAATTCTGTCCACACTCCCGTTGTCTCTCTCATTACAACGTTAGTGTGGTTTCCTCCCAGTAAATTCCCGCTTCTGTGATATGGAGTCAGCACAACACGAGGCATTGACAGCACATAGAAACAGCAGCCAGCAATTTGCGTAGTATGTGCTTATGCAGATTTTGCATGAAAGATCCAGGTGACTGATGGCAAAAGTCGTCATGTGTCAGAGTCAGACCAATGTGCTGACCTTTGGATAGCTGTGTCAAAAAACATGTTGGAAGGCTGACCTTCTCCTCTCCCTCTTGTTGCTTCTACCCCTCCTCCTCACCCCATGCCTCCCTCTCTCGCGACACGCTTCCTTGTCTTTGCCTGGTTCCCTCACTCCTCCCTACTTCTCGTTTTTCTCAACCCCTCTCCCCACACTCCCGTCACAATGTGCCAGACCTCAACTACCGCAACCGCAATGCTCAGATGGCGGGGCGAGCATCAGTGGAGCTTCACACGCTCATATTCTTCCGCACTCGGTGAGCTGTCAGCGTGTCCTTCTTACCATTACTACCTTTCCTACACACCTTCTTCTTCTTCCTGCATTCATCTTCCCATGCTTCTCGTGCACAGAACGTCTCTTGTCTTGCAAATTTGGTCTATTTCTTTCGCCCTCGTTCTCTCACGTACTTACCGCTGTTCTCTCTAACCTGTCCGTCTCCTCTCATCACTTTCTCGCCAGCCCAACGGATGCGGAGGGTCGGATAGTGATGGTCCGCTCCAATGGGCTGATCGTCTTCGTGCCCAAGTAAGCAACACTCCTTTTATTTGTTTTCTGTCATTATTATTTTTTCCCCTCTAAAATTTCTGTGTTCATGTTGTGTACAAAAACGACGCTTTCTGTGTTCTGTGTTTGCACAACTCACACCTGCTGCACAACCTGTGTGCTGCACTTTCCCTTTCTGTGCTCAATTCTAGGTATGGCATCGAGGGACCAGTCTATCTCGTACTCAAGGAACCTCACAAGGGGAAAGCTGCTGCAGTTGCTGCTGCCAACAAGCTCGATGGGAATGCACCATCTAGTGACTGGGTGGTGGATGAGAAGTCGCAGACGGTAGAGTCGAAAGACGGGAAGCGGCGATTTAAGGTGTTGGATACAGTGACTGTGCACATTGAGGTCATTGAGCCGCAGCCCAATCGGCCCAAGCTGTCACTGACGTTAGTGAGCCAATGATGCGAATGGCCAATAACCAAACTATAGCCAATAAATGATCAGGTTGTGTACTGTACTCACTATTGATCCAAAGAAATGGACACTGACTGTGCACATTGAGGTTATCGAGCCACAGCCCAATAGGCCAAAGCTGTCACTGACTTTAGTGAGCCAATGATGTGCTGTGAATGTTCAATAACCGAACTAAAGCCAATAAAGGATCAGATTGACTCCCAGCTGTCCCTGCGGCCTTCCCTGCTCCCTGCCAGTTGACTTCTGCGACTTTCGCATGACCAATGACAGACCCGCTTCAACGCAACTAGCACTTCGAACTTTCTTTGGAACGAAATTTCCTGGGACCGGTGGTCTGAGCGAAAACGCAAGTGCTGGTAACCACAAACTCCCATGCGCTGGGTCTGTTCCCGTCTCATGCACGCTCGGACTGACCCGCGCCGCATTGCTAGCTGCGCATAGTACCGAAATGCACAGAACCAAGCTTCAAGTGCCCGTCACGGATATGAACTGGGTAACCAGAAGAAGTGTGAGCGATGCGAAAGTATGTGCGAAAACGTGGTCGACTTCCAGAGGCCCCAGGCCGTAACTCTGTGCTCTGATGTACCTCATGTCATGTTTCGCGAAAACTGGTGAACTATGCATGGTGCAACCAAAGCCGCAGGCAAGTCCGAGAATTCGCTCACCTGCCCCATATCTTCAGACCTCGTGCAATTTCTGACCATCCAGGCAGGTGCATTGCGGCGCGACGACGCCCCCACCTCACCCAAATGTGCCACTCCGTATGAGAGCGGTGAGTACAAAATGAACCATCAACCCGTGGGACAACCATCACAATTCAAGCCTTCCAGCAGCATTCAAAGCAAATTCGACATCCGTTCCTTCTACTTGTTCTGCTACTACTGCAAGTTTTAGGCCAACAAACGTCTGCAGGCAACGGTTTCAGGCACCGTTCAAAGCAACCTGCCCGCCGAAAGCTAAGTATCGCCATGAGGGACGGTCCCGCGATTGCGATGCTACTGCTTCTGGCCGCATTCCTCCTTGCGGCACAGCCATCCAGTGCAAGCCGCGAATCCGTTTGGCGAAACCTGAACCGCGCATGGCGCAACGGCGGCGACAATGATGCGCTCCTCACGGCTCCCTCCAGGGAAAACTCCGGCAAATTCGCGACGCCAGCAGCGGATAGCTCCGCGGTCTACATCGTCCGCCTGAGTACCGCGCCTCCCCTCTCCGAATACCGCGGCGGAATCGCGGGCTACCCCGCGACGGCCACGTGGGACGACGGCAGCGACGAGGAGGGCGACAGCGACGCCGTGCCGCAGATGATCCTCCCCGTCGGCGATTCCGCCGCCGCCGCAGGCGACGAATCCGTCGATTTGGACGACACGACACCCCTTTCAAACGGAACTGTGCCCACGCCACCCCCAAACGCCACATCTGACGCCGCCTCCACTCCCAACGCTCGCGGCGGTCGCGGCGGTAACGGCAACGGTAACGGCGGTCGTAACGGTGGCGGCGGGTGCCCGCGACACCGGCTGAGTCTGAGCATGGACCGCCCCCAGGTGGCGGCGTTCGCGGGGCTGCTGCAGAGGCAGCAGGCGCAGGTGGCATCTGAGGCGGGCGTACCCGAAGACGGGCTGCTCTACAGCTACAAGCACACGTCCAACGGCTTCGCCGCGCGCCTCACGCCGCGCCAGCTGTGGCGGCTGCGGCGCAACCCCGCCGTGGCGTCCGTCCGCGCCAGCCGCGTGTTCCGCCGGCAGACGACCGACTCGCCGCAGTTCCTGGGGCTGCCCGGGAAGGTGTGGCCGGCAGTGGGCGGGCAGAGCAAGGCGGGCGAGGGCACGGTGGTGGGGATCGTGGACACGGGTATCTGGCCCGAACACCCGTCCTTCAGCGATAAGGGCCTCTCCTCGCAGCTGCCCGCGGGGTGGAAGGGCAAGTGCGAGCAGTCGAGCTCGTTCCGGTGCAACAACAAGGTGATCGGCGCCAAGGCCTTCTATGCCGGCTTCCAGCAGAGCAGCGGCCGGCCCGTGTTGAGCAACGACTGGCTCACGCCGCGAGATGCGGACGGCCATGGCACGTGGTGCGCGGGGGCGGCCGCGGGCAACCCCGTGAAGGTGCAGGGCGGCGGGCAGGTGAGCGGCATGGCGCCGGCAGCGCGCATTGCGGCGTACAAGGTCTTCTGGACGGACGGCAACGGGGACATGTACGCGACGGAATCAGACATCATCGCAGCCGTCAATCAGGGCGTGGCGGACGGTGTGGATGTGCTGTCGCTGTCTCTGGGCGGCGTGAATCCCGACGACAACTATTTCAACGACCTCGCTTTCATGCGTGCCAATGCTGCCGGGGTGTTTGTCGCCTTTGCTGCCGGCAACGCCGGGCCGCCCGGTCGTGGAGGGTTCTACCGCACGCTTGACAACTTCGCCCCCTTCTATCTCACCGTTGGCGCCAGCACCATTGCCCGAGGAGGCGCCTCCCTCGCTTCCTCAACGGCTGGCGCTCAGTCGCTCGCTCTCGGTGCCACTACCAGCAGCAGCGGCACGGATGGCAGCACAGGCGGCAACTTCAATGGCAACAGCACGGACGGCAGCAGCACCGTTCTGACAGCAGACGGCGGGATCACGTTCACGACTGCATCTTCCCCCGCCCCCGTGGTGGCTGACTTCTCTTCCCGCGGCCCCCTGCTGCAGCCCTCCGTCACAGCCCAGCCGCCCAAGCCAGGCAACGCCATCTTAAAGCCTGACATCATCGGCCCCGGAGTGGACCTCGTAGCCGCTGCTCCCGGGAAGAAACCCGGTGAAACCGGCGCTCTCGCGCGCATGTCGGGCACTTCCATGGCCACCCCGCATTTAGCCGGGCTAGCCACTTTAATCATCCAGAAGTACCCCAACTGGACCCCGGCGCAGGTGATGTCAGCGCTGATGACAACGGCGCGGGTGACAGACACGAGCAAGAGCCCGATCAAGAGTGCGACGGGCAGGGAGGCCACCCCGTGGGAGATGGGCGCAGGCCACGTGTTCCCCCCGGCCATGCTCGACCCCGGGCTCACCTACGACGCTCGCGACCGCGACTACCAGAACTTCCTGGCCGGGCAGGACCTCAACCGCGCGAAAAAGGAGTTCCCAGGGGTGGCACTCTCCCCTCTGGCTGTCCGGAACCTCAACCTGCCCACCATCACTCTGCCTCGCCTGCAGGGCTCCCTGCAGGTCACACGCACCGTCACCAACGTGGGGCAATCCCGGTCCACATACAGCGTATCTGGGAAGGCGCCGCAGGGGGTGAAGGTGACTGTGTCTACTAAGAGCCTCACGCTTGCTCCTGGGGAGAAGGCCACCTACACGCTGACGTTCACGGTGGATACCCCCAGTAATGACTTCAAGTACGGGTTTTTAGTGTGGTCTGATGACCAGGGCCACAGTGTGCGCTCTCCCCTCGTGGTGCAGCCCATCTCCCGCTGAGGGGGAGAGTTGTGTGATGGAGGCTATGTTTTGGTAGGGGGGTTGTTGAGTAGGGAGCCCTCTGGTCATTGAATGAGGAAGTGGCACTTCTTGTGGCACATGGCTTGGCATGGCTTAGTATAGGTTGATGCGTCATGGAGTGGAGAATGATGTGGAGGGCCCGGTGCGTATGGCATGAATCTGGGTTTGTGAGGTTGCAGAGTGTGTTTTTCAGAGTGTGACAATCCTGTTTGCATACAGTACTACTACGGTATTTATTGGAGATATGAAAGAATACAGCCCTACAAACACAAATGTGCATGGAACCCAGGTGATTGCACAGACTGACACTTTCCACTCCGCAGACCAAGCACAAAGCGTCTTTGCTGCGCTACCTCCCTGCTCGTGCAGCAGCAGCCAACAAGGGGAGAGTGGGCACCGGGAGAGGGCGAAGAGGCAGGGAACAAAGGGACAGGGAATGGGGAGAAAATGGCGCTGCTCAGAACAACAAGGGCGAGAGTTTGATCAATCCATCTCCAGTAGGCGTCTGGGACTGAGAGGAAGGGAAGGACGTGCGGAGAGCAGACTGCAAGGAGGACATGGGAACGAGAAGAGCTCCAGTTTCACATACTCTCGGCTGCTAGCTAGTGTACTTTTTACACTGTTTTTCCAACTTGCTTTAGCCTAGACCCCAAACACTTCTGCTCACTGGAAGGTATCTGAGGACTAGTATGCGCCTGGGACTGACAGGAGGGGAAAGGGCTTGGGGAAGGGAAGGCACGCGTGGAGAGAGGGCATGGAGAGAGGGCATGGAGAGAGGGAGATGGGCATGGGAAGTAGCAAGAAGGAGGGAACATTGGAGGTGAGTTGGGGGGTGCAATAGGCAGCAGGGAAGGGAAGGGATAGTGGGAAATAGGTTGAGAAAAGTTATACAAACATCAAGCAGGTATGGGGCAGCAGTGGCAGCACCATTACCACCTGGTGACGATACCTGATATGGCTGCTGGTATGATGACAGGTGACACACAAATATCCATCCCCTCTCCACTCCTCGCATTGTCTTCACTCCCATGTGGACCCCACACCTCGTCCCCCCCTTCCTCCCATCATTCCCCAGCTATAATCCCCTTTACTGCCCTGCCCCCCTTTGCAGGTCTGCGCTGCTGGTAACACCACCGCCCACACAGCATCTGCCTTTGCGCCGACTGCTCTGCTCTGCATCCCCCCCTGCTTCTCCCGCCTTCACCCTGCCATCTTGCCCTCGGCAGAGACAGTGCGTGTCTGATTCGCTCCATGGCTGCTGCCTCGTGCTCAAAGTCAAACTCGTACCGGATCTGCACCACAGGGACGAGGGACGGGACAGGATGAGGAACGAGGGCAGCACATTCCCCTTCGTATCGCCCGGTAGTGCCTTGCCTTTGAGCGCTGTTTCCGAGACTTGAGCTGTCTCACACGTTCATGGCTGCTGCATCGTGCATAAAGCCAAACCCAGGGAGGGGAAAAGAGGGCCACAGGATGAGGGAAGGGAGCAGCACATACACCGATGCCTGGAAGCCATTTTCCGAG